CTTCGTCAAGTTGGCTACAAAAAATCAATCTACAAACAACAGCATCAAGGGTCAAGATTTTGACACGTCATCCTATTCTATCCCACGTCACAATAAGACGTGCGAGGTGCGAGTATATATATATAGCGCGTGTAGATCAAGGGCTTCATCGAAATACCATCTTCATTGTTTTCACTTTCGTCGCTTTTTCCCGACAGAATATAAAATCATGCCTCGCGTTGGTGGTGGCGCTGGCCGTGGCTTCGGCGGTTAGTTTTCTTTTTTTAATTATTATTATTATATATATATTTATTTATTGATATTATTTTTCTGTGTCTGATTTTATTTATTTTCAAGGGTTTGAATTTATTTTTATTTTTTGTTATTATTAGGCAGTTTAGTAGTGGGTAATCTGCGCCTTGATGCTTAGAATTTTTTATTAGATTGAACACATTTCTTTCAAACACTATGTACTTGCATATAATGTATTGTAGTGTATGTATCGGCGGAATTTGGAACGAAATTTCCGAGTTCCGCCTATTCCAAATCGGACATTTTCCGATTTTGGAATAATACTGTTCATTCCGAATTCCAAGTATTCCGATCTTTTTTTTTATCAAAACTGGAACGTGTGTTAGATTCCGAATTGCAATCCGTTTTTATTTCCGGAGATTACACTTATAATATAAATATTGTTATGCATTTCACATTTTAGGTCACTAAAAAGTTGCCGCCAATTTCCGATTTTTTTTCTGATTTCTTTTGGAACGGAATTGGAATTAGTTTTTCACTTCCAGAAAAAAAAAAAAAAAAAATTGATTCTGATCCGTCCGATTTCCACCCCCAGTCACACACTACTAGTTTTTGTATTAGTTTTCGACAACACGATGCGAAAGTACGTGTGCCTATTTGAAGTAGCTTCGTAAGAAGAAACTGGTCATTAGACTTTGTTCTATCTCCTTTTAATTGTACTATTAACCTATTTAATGGTATATATTCCATATTTATGTTCTAGTTATACAGTTGTTTGTATATAATCACAAGTTTATAGTTTCAAAATCGAAACTAATCTTATTATTTACATAATTGATATCGCAGGAAAGTATTCTCGTTCTGTGGTACCTCAACCAGGTATACGAAATACGTATTTTCTTTTCCATTTTATCCACTATTTATTTTATTTTTTTGAAAGTTCCAAGATAAAAAAAATCACTTAATCATTTACGCAGTTCACCAAACACAACCTCCAGCACAACGCGTACCTAGATTTGGCGGATACACTTTTGGAAGCTTCGGTGCAACGTTAGTCGGAGGTATATAAGTCGAAAATTACCTAATATATTAAATTTTTTTATAGACGACCTGGATAATAATGTCTTGTACAATCGAATCGAATGTGTTCGTTTTTTTTTTCTTTAAAGTAATGATATGGTGTGGTGGAGCCGTGTTTGCAATGAGAGTTGTCGATTCTTTATGGGGACCTCGCACAATTAAAGTTCAATCAGCTGGTTACAAGAAAACGAAGCCGCCTTCCGCAAAGAGCAACGGTGATCCTTGCGGAACACAATTGAAGGCGTTCCAGGATGTAAGTTGTAGCGCAGTTAAACCTCTATAAATTAATACATTATGGACCAACAAAATTCTACTAATTTAACGAAATATTAAATTATCGAACTGATGATTTAATACGTTTTCACTGAGTCGGGATTGGGATAAATTATTATTTAATGACTTTTAATTTTGTGCAGTGCTTGAAAAGCTGCAACGGTGAGATTAGCAAGTGCCAGTTGTACACGGATATGTTGAGGGAGTGTAAGAACAACTCTGGTTCTGTTATGACTTCTTAAATATTGTTTGATTCATCAAATTGTGTCTGAAATTAGTATTTATTTAGATACTATTAGAGGATTTTTTTTTTATTTTTTTTCATTAGTGATGCTAAATCGGACAGATTGAAATTAGTACTTTCGGAAAATTACGATTCTTTTTTTAAGTGAAAACGAATTTTAGTTCCGTTAATATTTTTGGAAACATCGAAAATTGGAAATACAAAATCTTTCCAAAATCGAAAGTTTTCAGGTTGGAATTGGCGAAATTTTCGATTTTTATTAGCCTAAATATAAATAAAATGCAAATATTATTAGAATAAATTATGGCCACCCCCTGAGATAAGGTCGAATTACGATTAAGAACTCATGTTTGGGCATTTACAACCACCCATCAACTATGAATCTTCTTACACGTGTCAAATTTAGTGGAATGTTCTAGATTATGTGGAATATTCACCAGTTTGTATCAATTTTATCCCATTTGACCTCCACATTTTGAAACGAGATGATCATAAGATGTGTCTTTTGGCTTGTAAATATTGATGCATCAGAAACTGCATTTTTGTACAAAACGAGCACAAACTAGAGAAAATTCGACATAATCTAGAAGATTATGTTGAATTTGACATCATAGGGGTGGATGTGTAAGAAGATTCATAATTTAGGGACTTGGTTGTAATTACCCAAATATGCGGGTTCTTATATAATTTGACCTTACTTAAAAGAGTGGCCGTAATTTACCCTAATAATATTGATATTAAAATCAGATCGAAAATCGGAGTCTAATGCACATACTCGAACTTTGATCCAAAACATTTCTGAAAAAATGGGATTGGAATATATTCGGAATTATGAACGAAAAATATTGTTAGAAAATCAATTTCTTTTGAATCTGATACGGCGGGATCAGGAATTCCGTTCCAATTTCTACCCCTATGCATGCATATTACATTTGGATTTCATTTGCATTATATCACAAGCTATCTACAGACTACTGAATTAAAACTGGGTTATCAACAAAGTCACATCTCTAATTAATTTAGATCAAAATGCATTTGCCCAATTAAAAATATATATTTACATTTTCCAATATAAATAGCCTTAATTAATTAATTAATAATGTTGGTAATTAAATGTGAATCACAATCTCCCTTTGAGAAAGTTGGTGCACAGTTTCTTCCATGCCTCTGTATCTGGCTCAACTTCTTCCAGCTTAGACTTCACCTCTTCACCATGAGATTCCTATATTCATGCAAAAAAAAAAAAAAACAAAAAAATAAAAAATAAATAACAATTATATAATATATATTCTATTCAAAAATTGAACTCTTGAATATATTATGCAATAAAAACCTCGATGAAATTGCAGTTAGAAATACGGTCAATTAGGTGCAAAAGAATGTCCTTCGTGTATTCGGGGTGGCCTTGAATGCCCATAATATGGTCACCGTATTTGAACATTTCGATTCCGGTATGGTTTGACCTAGCGAGGACCTCTGCTTTTCGAGGAAGCTCCTTTACCTAAGTAGTAATCGGATTCAAATATATAATTATAAATATATATATTTGATTAAAAAAAAAAAAAAAAAAAAACCTCGTCTCTGTGGCATTGGATGATAGAAAGAGAGGAAGGCATTTTAAGTGAAGTGAAAATGTGCGATGTCTGAAAATGAACTTTGGTGATTCCGATATCCCATCCTTCGGTCGCTCGGCCGGTTTTTCCGCCTATTGCTCTTCCTAATATCTAGTTAAAAAATAAAATCATTTACAATTAAAAAAAAAGAAGAAGAAAAACTTATATTTTTTTTTGTGAATATATAAACTATTTTGTTATTTTACCAATCAAGAAAAAAAAATCTTTAGTCCCTTCACCATTAATAATAGGGAACAAAAGTTAGTGTACCCTTTAAGCTACGGTCGATATCAAAGCATCGGGCACATGTTCGAACACAACATGTCATGGTTTGTTAGTGAATCGACGTCAAAACTAATTAAGAGAATTTCAAGTCACATAAAAATAATTAAGAGCATTTTTTTAAGTGACGATTAAGCTAGATATACACAACATCGGCACATGTCCGTACACAACATGTCTTGGTTTGTTAGTGAATCGACGTCAAAACTAATTAAGAGAATTTCAAGCAACATAAAAATAATTAAGAGTACGTTTTAAGTGACGATTAAGGTAGATGTACGCCTGTTAATATTATAGGGTACAGTTGGACAAAACAAACTCGTTCTTTCTTTAAAAATTGCAAAGCGAGATTTATTATAAAATATTTAATATTTTTTTCTTGCTAAAAACGCCACTTAATTAGAAATTAATAGAGGAGAATATGTTGTAGAATGATTTTGAGCATCAAATATAGCAAGTTTCCCCACTTAATTGATGGTCCTCACAATCAAGAATCAATTTCAATCTAATTGATTACCTTTATTCCTAATTACAAGAATTGAGGAGCCCTTAAGCCCATGTGGTTTTATCTATCCTACACCCGGTGAAGGTTACACCGGGTGATTTTTCACCGTTGATCTACACACACCAATGTGGGTGTGTGTGTGTTTGTGTGTATATTAATGGTAAAGATCTACCCGGTGTATTTCACCCGGTGTAGGATCTCAAAAGCCAGCCCATGTGGCCACATGGGTAGTTTTTTTTTCCGAAAATTCCTAGAAATTTGCGTTATGTTTTGCAATCAACGAATGTCGACCCGCAAAAAAATACTTTAACATGGATTATCTTGCTTTTTAGAAATGTATTTTTTATCAGACCTTCCAAAATCCGACTATATTTCGCTAAATTATTTAATCCTATCTTGACAACCAAACGAGGTCTAAGTATAAAAAAAGCATTGTTCGTTCTAAAGATGAAAATACATACATTCATATTACAACATAATGTATGTATTTTATGAAAAGTAGTATATCACATTCACTCCACTATTAAACATTTTCTTTCATTTTCATGCATATCAAATCAAATAAAAAACATCAAGAATTAGGCCACTATCAATATCGCATGCTAAAACCTAACTTATAGTTTGAAGTCTTTGTCAATTTTCTATTGGACTAATCCTGGCCGTCAATTTGCCATTTGACTTTATTTTATCAACAGTGTGAACATTTACTTTCATATTTGCAAATAGCTATTTTAATATATTACTAAATAAATATAGGAAAAATTATAGTTTTTACCCCTCAAGTTTGCACTGATTTCATATTTGATCCCTCGTGTTTCAATAATTTAACATTTTTTGCCATTTTCGTCAATTTAGTGTTAGTCCGTTAATCAAGGTAGTGATGGGCACATGCTTGATTCCGTTAGTTTTAACGGAAAATTGACGAAAAAGACTAAAAATGCCGAATTTTGAAATATGAGGGACCAAATATGAAATCAGTGCAAACTTGTAGGGTAAAAAAATGTATTTTTCCAAATAAATATGCTCAATGTTTGATTATAATAAAATAATCTAGCCAGCTTTCAAAATTACAAACAACAACCACATACGCAAAAGTTAATTTTTATTTATTTGTATTTTTACCCCCAATAGATGTAATTTATGAAATAAAAGCACACAATAATTGTATATCCTTTTTTATAAGGTGGAGTTTGCAAAAGCTTATTCAAGAAGTTAGTGATTGTAACTTAAGTGAGTGCTTATTTATAAAAGTTAGCGGTGTGTTTGCAAATATTTTAGAAAGTAAACTTACGTAGAAAAAGCAAGCCTAATGATGCTCCTAAAAAACAACTTGAAGTAACTTATTTAATGAGAAATAAAAGCAAAAGTTACTCTTGCAGACACCTAAAAACAGATTATAATCCAAAAAAACTCATAAGCTACTTCTAATGCAATCACCACGAAACTAAGATGGGGTTTACAAAAGCTTTTGGAAAGTGATTAGAAGCTTTTTTTGGTTCAGAATCACTTTTAAAGTATTTAAAATTCCAACTTTTGTTTCTAATTCTCTAAACATAAGTTGCTTAAAGTGAAATTATGAAAAACACCCTTGAAACAACTTATCTTTAATAAAATTGCTTAAAGATGATTTTCCATGAATTTTGAAAACGCCCCCCACTTTTAAAAATAAAATTATACTCACCTGCTTCTACTTACTAACAAAAACTTTCCCAAACACCACCTAAGCAGCAGACATATAACCGGAAATAAAGGGGAGTTGTTCCAACACTAACTCCACACACAATACACACACATAAACCAAAATCTCCAACGGCAAACTAAAACAAGTTGTAAAAAACCAAAAATAAAATAAAATAAAAATAAATTAATTAATGATAAATATATATATATACCTGGTGACCGAAGCAAATGCCTAGAACCTTCTTCTTCATAGCGTCCAATTTCCTGAGCAAAACAACGAGGTCGGAGATCCAACGGTCTTCTCCGTGAGCGTCGCTGCAACTTCCGGTGACCACAAATCCGTCGTACTCTCCGATCTCATCGTCCGCCGGAAAATCGCCGCCGGCCACCTTGTACACGTCCCAGATTTCGCCGTCCTCTTTCAGCATTCGGACGAACACGCCGTAGTAACCGCCGTACATTTTCTTCACGTACTCCGATTCGTCGGCGCAGAGAAGTACGGCGAACTTTCTACCTTCCATTTTTCTCCCTCTCCGCCTCTTTCTCTCTCTCTCTCTCTATATATATATATATGAATGTATTTTTATAGAGAGAGAAAGGGAGAGGGGGATTGGGGAATATGGAGGCTTTTTTATAAACAAGTCTACAGAGAATGTGAATTGACTGAATTACCCCTCTTAAGGATCTGTTTAAATTTATGTAACTGATTTGCGTGCCGTTATCTCTTTCTAATTATAAGAGTAACAACTATGCAAACACAATAATTATGTAAGCGAATGAAATTGAAATTCTCTTTTTATATGGTATCGAAATATTTCATACAGATTTTTGTAGATACTACATTCGATGAAACTCGGGTGATCTTAGGGGCATGTTTGGCTAAGTTTATTTTAAACAGTTGATAAACTTTTACATTTGATAAGTTGTTTTAAGGGCTGATAAACTGTTTTTTTTTTAAGAAAGGCTGATATATTGTTACGTCTTATTTTTAAAATGGTTGGATAATAAATTTATAAGTTGTGTTTACTCATTATAAGATCTTAAATAAAAAAGTGAGGTAAAATTACTTTTTAAAAAGAAAATTATTTATTCTCCAACAACTTTGAAAGAACTTATAAGCCCTTTTTAACGTCTTATTAGCTCACCCAAACACTCTTTAAATTATTGATCTACACATAATAGCGATACACGCGGTGTATTACACGAGGTGTGTGTTGCAAATTCTATATTGCTATTTGCCTTCATTTTACACACACTTGGTAATAAATATTTGGGAAAGTTCATAAATTTTAGGATGTTTAATTAACGTGATTGAAGTTGATGTATATTATACTTTAACTTTTTCAAGAACACATTTCCGTGCAGAAGTCAGTCGCATAACATGATTGAAAAATCAACTACGCCAATTTTATATTTTCTTATAAATAATCAAAGATTATTTTTTAAAGATAACATAAATTATATTTTTAAATAATTTTAGTGATGGGCTAAATATATTAAAGCCCAAATTGCATAAGGGGAGGCCCAATGAGCAAAAAAATGCCCAGAAAGGGGTCCAAATTATCAAAGAATTTCACTCCCCAATTGATTAGAGTTGGTTTATTTATTATTATTAATTTTTTTTATGTATTTAAATTAACCGTCTTGATTGTTTGGTAGTTGAAGATCAAGATTTAACATTCAAGATTTAACATTCAAGATTAAAAATTTATTAGTCAGGACCAAATTTTGATCGAACTGATTGGGTCGAACCGTCTAGCCAGTCGGTATCTTGCCCTTTTTTCTAGAATCGTGAAACCGATAGGTCGGATTAGTGAACCGGCCCAGAACCGTGAGTTTCAAGGGTCGGGATATTTCGAGTTGTTTTGGATAATTTAAAGGACTATGTGCTAAACAAATGCATCATAGAGATTTTTTCTTACACATAATTCTTTTTTACAATTCACTCAATAGAAATAAAACGTTAGAATATTGAATCTAAACCTCTTTTATTTATTTTATATATTTATTATTATTATTATTATTATTATTATTATTATTATTATTATTATTATTATTATTATTATTATTATTATTATTATTATTATTATTATTATTATTATTATTATTATTATTAAACATTGACTAAGAAATAGCTAACACATAATTACATTTCCAGCTGGCGAAATTTTGCCACTTCCCATATCAAAAACCCACCACATATCAACCCTATGATAAGCAAAATAAACACAAATTCTTCTTACACCCTATTTTTCTTGCATCAACCTCCATACAACATTCATCCTCAAGAAACAAAGTCCGGTCTCCAATACTTTCAATTTTCATCCACAAAACCCTATATCAATATCAAGCCTAAACACCTCAACATCATCAACAACATCAACACATTGTCTTGACACAAGAAAAACGAGCAAAATCTCACCGTCCGATTCGACCAAATACTCCCGAAACCGCATCGAGACTCCCGAGGGCACACTTCTTCTCGCGCCGACTCTCGTCGTTTTAAAACAAGAATCGACGTCTTCGATCGCGACGACGCTCCCTTGCGAGCTCAACGCGTAGAATTTCCCTCCGAATCCGATCCCGTTAGTTATAATCATATTTTCGCCGGGAGAATACGGTTCCTTAATATAGCATTCTTGAATAATCCACTCCCTCCTATTATTGCTACTAATTTCCCCCCATCTATAGAACGCGAAAGCCGGAGATTTAGTGCCCGTTAAAACCATCACGTTGAAACTATTTGCGCCCTTCGGAGATGACGATAAGGTGCAAATCTTGAAAGAAAGATTAGTGTCCCAAGGTGGAAGGACCATATTGCCCCCGCCCGCAGGATCCCATATATAGCAACTAGACTTATCTTTTCCAATAACGACTACGTGCCCGTGAGAATGGCCCTTGAAACAAATTCCCACTACAACATTTATGGCTTTATGCGATGGTAAAAAACCGTCGGGAAAAGTAGAAAAACCGTCGGGAGCATTATTCTTGACGGTTTTCGACCGTCACAAAACCGTCAAGAAAAAGGCCGTCGTATATACTTCCACGTGTAAAAAAACCGTCGGGAATAATGTTTCTCGACGCTTTGAGAACCGTCGTAAATACTCATACATATTTTGAAAACCGTCAAGAATACATTTCTCAACAGTTGAAAACCGTCATAAATACTTGTATATATTTTTCAATATTTTCTTCGAATTAATACTGAAACCTATTAAAAAATGTAACCGCATGCCAAAAATTATTATAATTTCCCAACACGAACATATACAAATGCCAAAAATCACTAGGATTCCCCAAATACAGGAATTCTTGTTTTCTAAAAGTATGCAAAACCAAACTTCACGAAAATTATCTTTAAAACAACACTTACATTCACTTCTAAAGTCTATACATCTCAGTGTAACAAAAACAACACAAGCTAATAACTTTGAATTTAATTAAATTTGGTTAATTAGTGGCATGTGTGTCCTTGATCCCATGCTCCCATTTACAATGTGTTCCTGTACAATCCAGAGAAAAAAACAAGTTATTCCATCACCAGAAAATATATCTACGATATATCTACTGGTAGATCACTTTAAACTGAAACGAAATAACATAAAAGAAATCAAATTGTATTATGAAGAAAGTATAAATAATATAAAGAAGGTTCACCTGATTAACATGCAGTGTTGTCAAGCCTTGAGATATCGCTTAGGAGAGGCCATAAAACCTCATAAACATGTGAAAATCTGGAAAAATTGCATATCTTAGTTTAGTATATAAAGAAAGATATTAAAAATCATGAAAAAATCACAAAACATAAAATATGAAAGTTTAATATAACTCCATAAAATGAACATAAGAGAATTAGAGCAACGATGGCGATAACTATGAGCTGGTTTAGTGCAGGGCATACTCAATGTCTGAAAATAAATGACAATATTAGTTTAAATTAAATAGAACTTTAGTAATTAAGTATTAAGAATAATATATTGTTTACCTAGGCCTGATGTTGGAGGAACTGAAGTTGTATCTGTCTAAACATTTCCTCCCATTAAAAAAAGCACTAGGGCCTGCCCTGCAAGGCCAGAATTCTTGAATCATCCAATCAAGACCTTACTCAGAGAATTAATCATCAAATATGCAAAAATTTAAGCAAGAAATTGACCAAACACTTGAGTTGGATAAAGAGATAATATATGGATGACGGAGTTTATAGACGAAGCTTGCAAACTGATTATGTAGCTTTTATTGGATGTAGAAAAATCTTACTCATAATGGGTAATATTAATTGAAACGATCCGTCCCTCACTCAGACTTGAGTTGTCAACATCCTTATCATTAATAATGGTTTTGTATCAATGCTATAGCTTACCTGTATGAAAAGAACCCAAGATTAATCAATAATACCAAATATTATATATAAAAATCAATCCACAAAGGTACTTGAACATGTAGAGCATGAAAACCAAGGGGGTATCAAATTGTCCAGCCAAAATCAAGAAAATACTTATTACCAGTAAATACTTTTATTTTGAACCAGACCATCTTGCAGGCAACTGCACCTACCAAATTAAAACTACTTCTCTTGATACATAATATACATATGATTAAATTATAACACGTACCTTCTTTCAGAAGAATCTCATCAACAAAAATTGCAGATATTATACAGCTAAAATAATATGCATTTTTTGTCCTTCAAAACTGAGGAAAAATAAACAAATCTACGTAGTCAAAGGCTTGAAGAAAAGCACTTCAAATTAAAATTGAAAGGATTAATACTTTACCTAGATAAACTATCTGAAAGCAATCAATTGGGCCAAAGCTCATAGAGACGGCATTCACATTCCCAAGTTGAAGCTTTTTATTGCACATTCAAGCCAATGAGCTAAAGAAGGAGAGAGGACAGTGAATTTCGGCAGTCTAGAAATGATGAAGTCCATTGGCAACAATACAAATTTATCTAATAAAATGTATAAAAAGTAAAACGTAGGTAGACAGAAATTTTAGGGCAAAAAATCAATACGAGAAGAAAGCGGAGACATAAGTGGCATTGGCGATGGCGGTGGCGGTGGCGGTGGCGGTGGTAATCGCGATGGCGGTGGCGGTTGTAATCGCGATGGCGGTGGAGGAAGGGATTCCGATTGCGATGGAGACAACAATGAAGGAGGGGATAGCGATGGAGACGACGATGGCGGTGGATATATGATTGCGACGCCACGCGACGACGATAGCGGCGGTGGAGGTGGCGACCGCGACGGCGATAGCGGCGGTGGAGAAAAGCCCTAGCTTTTCTAGATGTATCGACGGGAAGAGAAAAAGATTAAAGCGAATTTGGGAAACTTTTTGCTTATTTAATTATTTATAAATCAGGTTCATTTTTAAGATTATTTTTAAATCAAATTAGTTTTTTTCTTGACGGTTTTTATGTGTCGAAATTGGTTTAAAAAACGTCAATAATATTATTTTGTACGATGGTTTTTATGTGTCAAAATCGATTCAAAAAGCGTCAAGAACGGTCTTTTATACGACGGTTTTCAAACCGTCGGGTAAAACATGCGTCGTATAAAGGCTAAAATGTTGTAGTGTCCCGGGCATCTATTCTTGGGTGATTTTTTTCTCGTGTATTGGAACGAGATTTCGGCGAAGTGCGAGCGCGTCTTTTGTTGCTTTTTGCCGTTGATTTCGACTAGTTGGGCCCATTTAATTATCGGGTCTTCGGTATTCGTGGTGCAATTGAAGTGCCTTGAGGGTGGTTTCCATGATTTGGTGACACCACCAAAAGAAGTGATGTTTTGCATTAGATTTGGTTGTTTTGAAATGATGTTTATGAGCTTATGGGGAAGATTAGGCCATAACTTTGGAGGTGGAGGGTAATTAGTGGTGGCTAATTGTTTTTCATTTGGAAGCTGATTTTTTTTCTTGTTTTTTGATGTTCTTTGAGCCATTTTTTTTTCTTAATTATTTTCAAGTTAATTGTTAGGCTAATACTTAATACCAATAAGTGTAGGCGTGCCCTTCAAGCTTAGTCGATAGGTATTGTCCTTTTCACAATACTAATTTATATTATTAAAATTGAAAAAAAAAATTAAAACTTCCAAGACTTGACCAAGTAATTAAACTTTCACTAAGTCAACTAATTCATCTTGCACCTCTAGTTGATCAATATGGTATTTGAACTAAGGAATATAATAGTTGACTTGATGTATAGTAGAACCTCAATAATTTAATAACCGTGCTTGAATAATAGTTTTCTTTGGTCTTGATTCGGTAAAAACTTACTAAATTATTAGTTTGATAATTTACTTTTCACTAAATTAGTAGAATTTTGCTTATCTAAATTGTATTAATTTATAGTTTTATAATATATATATATATATATATATATATATATATATACTTTTTCATTCTTGCACCTCAAGCACATCAATAATACTTAACTAATTTAAAACAAATATGCATTGAACTTTCTAATAATGTAATAACTAAACCTTGGTGCACACGACTTCAATTATTGATTTAACCATCATATATAGCATAAATTAGATCAGAGAATTCAAACATCTCCAAAGTAATTCTACCCCCAAAAACAAAATCAAAAGGAAATGGTTCAAAAAACATCAAAGATGATCAAGAAAAAGAAAAAACATGTCCCAAATGAAACACAAGCACCAAACACATGGCCTAATCTCCCACACCAACTCATCGCCCAAATAGCGATACAGCCGAACCTAATGCAAAACATCACTTCTTTCGGCTGCGTGATCAAGACATGGAGATCGACCTCATGGCAATGCATCACAAATGGAAAATATCCAAAAATCCCTCAACTCGTCGAAATCATCATGGCTAGAAAAAAACAACGAGGCGAAAAAAATCAAGAAAACGCGCGGTCCCACACCATCGCTATCCCGTTTCACGACGAGTACCCCTACCCTTATTACTACAAAAGGCGAAAATCAAACAAGTACAATTTTTGTTCTCATCCAATGTATTTCAAGGGCCATTCTCATGGACACATATTAGTCATCGTTAATCATGAGAGATCCGATAATTTTCGTGTGTGGGAGCCGGCTAAGGAAACTTCGCGTTTGCTTCCAGAGTGGAACCTTGATCTATCTTTCAGAACTTGCACATTGTCATCATCTCCAAAGGGTATCGACGGTTCCAGTGCAATGGTTATAACGGGTATTGATTCTCCTGCTTTCGCATTCAGTGGATGGAGCAAAAGCATCACCGAAAGGGCATTTTGGTCTTTTCAAGACTGTTGTGTCGAGGAGCCTTATAACCCCGGCGAAAACATGCGGTTCACTAATGCCATTGGATTCCAAGGGAAATTATACGCATTAACTTTGCAGGGGAGCATTGTGATGATAGAAGAAGACGTTGATTCTTGTTTTAGAATTGCGGTCGTTGGATCTAGAAGGAGTGTGCCGATTGGAGTCTCGAGGCAATTTAGGGAGTATTTGGTCGAATCGGATGGTGAGATTTTGCTTGTTTTTCTTGTTTCAAGAAAATGTATTGATGTTGTTGATGATGTTGAGGTGTTTAGGCTTGATATTGATAGGATTTTGTGGGTGAAAATTGAAAATATTGGAGACATGGCTTTGTTTCTTGAGGATGAATGTTGTATGTGGGTTGATGCAAGAAAAGTAGGGTATAAGAAGAATTGTGTATATTTTGCTTATCATAGGGTTGATAAGTGGTGGGTTTTTGATATGGGAAGTGGTAAAATTTCACTAGCTTTTGGTCAAGATTATGTAATGCGGACATTGGAAGATTGAATAATTGAGTGATTTCAAATGAAATATGAGGGTCCATTTGGATGGAGGGATTTGGGGAGGGATTTGATTTGGGGAATGGATTTGAAATGACTCCAATTTTGGAGTCATTTGAAATCCATCACTATTGCTCCAAAATCAACTAAAAATGAGGGGTGGGGATTTGAAATCCATCTCCAAATCCCTCAATCCAAACAAGTCCGATGAATTTGTTATTATGGATTTGAAATCCCTCCCCCAAATCCTTCCATCCAAATGCACCCTGAAAGTTGTTTAGAAATTGCAAAATGACCCATAAAGTGTCCGGTAGGTGTATTCGAGTTTCCGGCACGAAACGATTCCGAAACGCATAAACGTTAACAATTTGAAGTTTCCGTACTACACACAGTGACGATCCTTCGTGAAAATAATAAATTGACAATATAGCATAGTGGTACCCCATTAGTAACAACCATAACGTCAATAATTTTTGCCTAATAATGTGAAAACTAAAAATCAATGTTGTAGTTGAAAAGATTATTTGTTGTTTTTTTGCCGTTGATTTCGACTAGTTGAGGCCATTTAATTATCGGGTCGTTATTCGGGGTGCAATTAAAGTGCCTTGAGGGTGGTTTCCATGATTTGGTGACACCACCAAAAGAAGTGATGCTTATGAGCTTATGGGGAAGATTAGGCCATAAATTTGGAAGTGGAGGGTAATTAGTGGTGGCTAATTATTTTTCATTTGGAATCTGATTTTTCTTCTTCTTCTTTGATGTTTTTTGAGCCATTTCTTAATTGTTTTCAAATTAATTGTTATTAACAAGGTCTAAAATATCGGTTATCGGGTGCGAGGCGGTTAGGAACCGCCACACGATAAATCGGTGCTGCGGTGATTAATCGGAGATATATCAGAAATAAATCAGTTTTTAGATTTAGTGTAATATATTTCTAAATATTATTTGTTAATACTTAAAACGTATAAAAAAATTGAACTTGATTCTCTCCTCATCGTTTATATAATCTAATTACATAACAAAAGTTTAACATTTAGAACTTGATTCTCTCCTCATTGTTCTAAATGTTTTTATTTTTAGGCCATGTTCTTCTTACTGTTCTAAATGTTTTTATTTTTAGGCCATGTTCTTCTTACGGGATCGGTGAGTTTAGGTTTGATTGAAAGAGATGATGTGATGGAATTGATAATAAAGTAAAAATAATGATAAACAACCTATTTTCCTTGTAATAAACAATAAATAAAAAAAACTAGAAAAAATATATTTTTGATATATCGCTCGAAGTTTGACCCGATATATCGATTTGCCCCGCCACAGACCGCCACAAACCGCCTCGGACAGCCTCACCGTCAAAAAAACGATTTTCAAAATCGCCACACAAATATCGTAAAGGTTAATGCCTGCCACCGATATGACGGCAGATATATCGGTCACCACAACCGATATTTAGAACACTGATTATCAGACTAATAAAACTTAATACCAATAAGTGTAGGCGTGGCCTCCAAGCTAGTCAACAAGTATTGTCCTTTTCACAATACTAATTTATATTATTAAAATAAAACATTAAAACTTCCATGACTTGACCTAGTAATTAAACTTTCACCAAGTAACCTAATTCATCTTGCACCTCTAGTTGATCAATATGGTATTTAAACCAAGGAATATAATAGATGACTTGATATATAGTAGAACCTCAATAATTTAATAACCGCGCTTAAATAATAGTTTTTCTGATCTCGATTCCGTAAAAATTTACTAAATTATTTTTTGAGTAACCTACTAAATTATTAGTTCGATAATTTCACATTTCACTAAATTAATAAAATTTTACTAGTCTCAACTGTATTAATTTATAGTTTTATAATATATATATAGTTTCATTCTTGTACCTCAAGCACATCAATAGTACTTAATTAATTAAAAAAATAAACATTGAACTAGTCCTTCATATAATTTTCTAACAATGTAATAACTAAACATTGGTGCCCACGACTTCATTATTGATTTAACCATCATATAAAGCACAAATTAGATCCGAGAATTCAAACATCTCCAAAATAATTCTACCCAAAAAAAAAAAAGAAATCCAAAGAAAATGATTCGAAAAACATCAAAGATGATCAAGAAAAAGAAAAACCATGTCCCAAGTGAAAAACAAGCCACCCCCATTAGTAATCCACCAAACACATGGCCTAATCTCCCACACCAACTCATTGCCCAAATTGCGATACACCTGAACCTAATGGAAAACATCACTTCTTTCGGTTGCGTGATCAAGACATGGAGATCGACCTCAAGGCAATGCATCGCAAATGGAAAATACCCGAAACAACCTCAACTCGTCGAAATTATTATCACTGGGAAAAAACGAGGCGAGAAAAATCAAGAACGTGGGCGGTCCCACACCATCGATATCCCGTTTCACGACAAGTACCCCTACCCTTACTACTATAAAAAACGAAAATCACCCAAGAACAATTTTTGTTCTCATCCAATGTATTTCAAGGGCCATTCTCATGGACATGTAGTAGTCGTCCTTAATGAGGGACCCAGTAATTTTTGTTTGTGGGAGCCAGCTAAGACAAGCGCGCTTGGCCTTCTAGGTTGGAACACTAATTTTCCATTTAGAACTTGCACATTGTCATCATCTCCATATGATATCGACGGTTTCAGTGCAATGGTTATAACGGGTATTGATTCTCCTGCTTTCGCATTCAGCGGATGGGGCAAAAGTATCACCGAAAGGGTATTTTGGTCTTTTCAAGATTGTTGTGTCGAGGAACCTTATAACCCCGGCGAAAACATGCGGTTTACCAATGCCATTGGATTCAAAGGGAAATTCTACGCATTGACTTTGCAGGGGAGCGTTGTCGTGATAGAAGGAGACGTTGATTCTTGTTTTAGAATCGCGGCCGTTGGATCTAGAAGGAGTGTGCCTATTGGAGTCTCGAGGCAATTTAGGGAGTATTTGGTCGAATTGGACGGTGAGATTTTGCTCGTTTTTCTTGTGTCTAGAAAATGTATTGATGTTGTTGATGATGTTGAGGTGTTTAGGCTTGATATTGATAGGGTTTTGTGGGCGAAAATTGAAAGTATTGGAGATAGAGCTTTGTTTCTTGAGGATGAATGTTGTATGTGGGTTGATGCAAAAAAATTGGGGTGCAAAAAGAATTGCATTTATTTCACTCACCATAGGGTTAATGAGTGGTTGACTTTTGACTTGGGAAGTGGTGAAATTTCACCAGCTTTTGGTCAAGATTATGTGACGTGGGACATTGGAAGATTGAATAATTGAGTGATTTCAATTGAAATATATGAAACTTTGTTACTTTAATTTGTGAAATTAGATGTGCCTAATTAACAATGGGTGATTAATTATGTTTTTATAGAGGATTTGGGGTGGAAGTTCACTTCAATAAAGAAATTGAATTAGTGAATGTACCATAATTGCGACACTATCAAACGTTTTTAAACATATATATTAAGTGGCAATATTTGTATGCTATATATCACATATAATAACTCATTTTGTTGTTACTTAATATTTTTTTATTGTCACTAGTAGACAACTATGTAGCACGGAAATATAAACGGCGATATGGGTAAACGAATATAAAGAAACGACATGTTCCAAAAATGGGGATACGGGAACTTGGAAAAATGTGTAAATATTAAAAGTATAGAGGTATATTTATAAATATTTATAAGTCTTTATTTATACATAATTTCTTTTTATATACTTTTATACAAACATATTCAAATAAATTTTCTATCAACTATCAATTTGTAATTGGTCATTAAATCATGTAAATAATTTGGGAAACAAGAGAAATATTTAAAAATTTATTATTCAAACATGTTTTAACTTTTTAGAAATTGTCAAAATGGCCCATAAGATGTCTGGCATATCTTTTCGAGTTTCCAACACGAAACATTTCCAAAACGCGAAAAAGTTAACAAATTGAAGTTTCCATACTACATAGACTAATAATCCTTTGTGAAAATAATAAACTATGGCAATACAACATTAGTGGTACCCCGTGAGCCCGTGTGTTACAACCATAACGGCAACAATTTTTGCCTAATCATGTGAAAAATGAAAATCAGTGTTGTCATTCAAAAGATTATTTGTTGCAGTGATTGGAGACGTAATTTTCAAAACCCAACGATATCGATAATGATTCAGATCTTTCCGATTTTGGAACAACATTTTTCATTTCGAATTTCGAGAGTTCCGATTTCCATAATTAATTAAGGTATAATCAAAGTCTATATAGTGGTGGTGTTGAGCTCATTGAATTCAAACCAATTTAAGAAAGATTAGGTCTGTCTTGATTACCAAAATTGTGAATAATTAATACTAATAAACACTAAACTTTGCTTTATCTTTAATTAATGATGATTTATGACTGTCATCACCACTAATATTAGTACTTGTTTGTAAACCCCAGATTGGTGGAACAAAACCCTCCCCCCCTGTCCGACACGTGTCAGTCATCTATTCGCTCAGCAGCATCAAAGTTTTAAATTATTTTAATTTATCTTACCAAAAATCCCCACCAATTATCACTCATTTCTCAGTGTACGAGGAAAGCCCACTACATTAACTTTAATAAATAAATAATAAAGTAATAAAATATAAATAAAATTTCCACATATATTACATATATATATACGCTCCTTTCTAAATTAGGGTTTAGTCACCTAATCAGGAGCTGGTCCTAATTAATCTGTATGAAAATCACTTCAATCTTGATAGTTAATATTATCAGTAATAGCAGTATCAATATTAATATCAGTATCAATATCACTGAATCAGTATTAATATCAATACTATGATTCTTTTTTTAAATTGCGGATTATATCGTATTATGTATATCAACTAATCAAAGCTTTTGATCGATTATTTTATCTAAACGTATTTTTATTTTTTAAATTGTTGAGATACTAGTTTGTTATATGTTATTAATAATAAATGTTAACATATTTTAATTAATCTTTAATTTCAACTAAAACCACCATATATGCATACCACTTCTGGTTTTCTTAATTAAACCGCTCCCATGTTTTTCTAAAGTGGTTTTCCTTTGTATAAAAACTGATAAGCATCTCTTTCATTAGTCATTTTGTCCTAAATTAATTCAAGCTCAAACTGGTAAGTTTTTATTTTTTATTTTTATATTTTTCAAAGATTAATACGAGTTATCGTCATTATTCATTTTCGATTTTTTTGTTTTTATGCATATATAGTTCGATTGTTAACGAATTTTTGAGCTAGCTAGAAAAAATAATAGAAACCCTATTTTTTTTTCTCAGATAGAAGATAAAAATGGGGAGAGGAAAGATAGTGATTCGTAGGATCGACAACTCGACGAATCGGCAAGTGACTTTCTCAAAGAGAAGGAATGGATTGCTTAAGAAGGCGAAAGAGTTATCAATCCTTTGTGATTCTGAAGTTGGATTGATTATCTTCTCCAGCACTGGGAAGCTTCATCATTTTTCAAGCACCAGGTTTATTTTAATTTGATAATTAATTAATTAAATTAAATCTCCACACATTTTTTTTAATTATTCTTTCTGGATCTAGATAATTTTAATTATTTCCAGGCATTTTTTTTAATTATTTTCTCTAAGATCTATATTATCCTTTGATCTTCATTTTAGGTTTAACTAGTATAATTTAAACTATGACTAATGATGGGCTAATTAATATTAATTTAGTTAATTTGACCAAGATACTGGATAAAAGAATATATTGGATATGACATACAAATATTTTTTGATGGTTTCCATGAAATTTTATTCATCCCACAATTTTATTTTAAATTGAATTTTAAATTTAGCTTGCACGAATTAATTCAAATATTAATACTTAAATATAATAAATACTTAAAAAACTTAATTATTTCAGAGAAAACTCTTAATTACTAGTGGATAAATAAATTTAGAACATCAGTACTACACATTTTTTTTAAATTCATCGAAAACATCGAAAAACCGTTGCTTTAAAACTAATATTTCGGAACTCTTTAATGATAATATAGTTATTGAGTGTTTACCAGTAATCACAATTTAAAAAAACATACAAAAATGTATAGTTACTAGCAGGGGTGGAAATTGCAACGAAATTTTCGATTTCCACCGATTCTGATCCAAAATTTTCAATAAGATTCCGAAATTCCGATTTCCAATTTTTTCGAAATTATTTGGATCGGAATTGGAATATATATGATTCTAATTTCCAATCCGATTTAAGTTCCGAAAATTCAGGCTTTAGTCTGAATATTACACTTAAAATACCAATATTATTATGTATTTTATATATTAGGTGACCAGAAATTGGAACAAGTTTTTTCATTCCAATTTTCGAAATTCCGATTTTCAATTTTTTTTCGATTTTTTCGGAATGGAATTGGAACTAGTTTTTCACTTCCGGAAAAAAATTGGAACCTTTTCCGAAAGGGCTAATTCCATTCCAATCCGTCCTTACACCCCTATTTTACTACATAATATGGGTTAAAACCCTAACATCAAAGATTAGCAACTAATTAAACCAGTTTAATTTCTGTACATTTTTTTTATTACCAGCATGAAATGTGTTATGGAGAGGTACAACAAAGCAAAAGAGGAGCATTACCATCTGATGAATCCTACCTCGGAGATCAAGGTACATACTTTATTGAAAAAAAATACTGATAATATTTTGAAAATCGGAGCCCGTATCGCTATGGATAATTTAAATTGTGGCATTCCTTCACGTAAAAGTATTTTTTACGAAAAAAAATAATAATATATTTTTCTTGGCTTTCATATTGAAGATGCTCTAACATTTCGTCTTCTATTGATTCTTCGTTTGTTGAGAGTTTTTGTAAGAAAAAAGGGAAGATACAAAAGAATATTCCTAGGTGTAAAATAAAAAAGTGTATGATTTGATATATTTTACAAAGAGTCTCCTATGTATAGTTATGTAACTAATTCATATAAAATTAAAATATTATCTACTCTTGATTAAGTATGCTTAATTAAAGGAGTTGAACGTTGCTTGTAAATATAAAGTACCATGGAGCTTCGTCTAATGCTCTGTGGGAACTCGCAACTCGTGAACCATTTCTCGACTTTTTTTTATGCTTCTCGAAATTCTTGAATGTAATTTCACTGCAGAGAAAAAGATACTTTGTAAGAAATCAAACCTGATTTAAGATGTTTGTGTGTCTTATTTCGTGGATCGTTTTCGACAAGTATATATTTGATTGTGGACCTAAAATATTTAAACAAATTAACGGTCGATTATCAAGATTTAGTATGTTTGTTAATCATGATTTAATATAATTTACTCTCGTTTTTCGATAGTTTTGGGAAATGGAAGCAGCGAATTTGAGGCAGCAGCTACAATATTTGCAAGAAAGCTACAAGTAAGTCCACTTTTTTTTTTGTACGTAGCATTTCGTATACAATTTTCTCCCCGTAGATTTTCATTATCGACCAATAAAATTTATTCATTATCGGAATGCCCAACTAGAAAAAAAAAATTAATTAATTTATTTTTTCAAAAAATGATTGATTTAATTTCCATGTAACTTTTACGCGAGTGACTAAGACCGAAGCGAAGAATTACGTTATGTTGTAATAACTAATAAGTCTTACCTCATAATAACTGCAGGCAGCTTCTGGGAGAACAAATTTCTGGATTGAGCATCGAAAATCTCCATAATCTAGAAAATCAACTCGAAATTAGTTCGAAAGGCATACGTATGAAAAAGGCAAGCGCCGATTCTATCTAAGCATAATTATCGCTTAATTTATATATACAAAAGGGTTTTTTCGTAAATTTTCTTTTTTTGGTTTTTTATTTTTTTTTTATTTACAGGAACAACTTCTAACGGATGAAATCAACGAGTTGAATTGGAAGGTCCTCTTTCGAAAACCGATGCACATTCTAATTTTTGCGTTTTTTTTTAATTGAAGAATCTTGAAGTGGGAATCGATAAACACGGTTTCTTTACGTTTCAGGGAAACCTTGTTCATCGAGATAATATAGAACTACACAAGAAGGCAAACCTCGTCGATCAAGCAAATGCAAAATTTCACAACAAGGTAACTGACATGCTAAATTAATACCCGAAGAAAAAAAAAAAACCGATTTTTCCGAGTTACACTAAACTCGAGTTCTGATCCAGATATATGGTTTGGGGAGCAATAGTGAAGCAAACAGAGCCCCCCACATTACATTGTGTTGAAGTAAGGTATCTTTATTTATACGTATTTATCGGAGAAGAATATTAATTAATTAATTAATTAATTTTTTTTTGGCTTTAATCTTATAAAATAACGGTCAATTTGACTCTTTTCGACAGGCTTCAACTGCAGTAGAGAGCTGTCTGAAAACATACATTCGAAAAGAATGTGGAAATAATGCGGTTACGGACATCGTATTCGACAAAAATCGTGTGAATAGATTTTAAAATTAATTATGTAAAATTTGTACCGCGTGAATAACTATGTAAATATTGTACCTGTTCAGCGTATAAATGCCAAGAGTTACAATGCCGAACGCAGCTCGTGTGTTTTTATTCTAGTCTGTATACTTTCTCCATCAAGTATATGATTCGATTCTTCGACAAACCGAACTTTACTTTAATTATCGACATGTGCAAAAACGAGATATAAAATATATTAAACAAGAGCTTCAGGTATATTACCAAACATACTAATCTTACGAAGTTTCACGATTCAGTTAACGATTTAAAACACATGAAAGATGTCGGTAAAATCAGGAAAACTGCATTATTTAGTTTAGCCACTGATTAACCAACAAATCAAGATTACGAAATACATGATTGCGAAGAACGAAATCATAGCTAGGGGTGGAAATCGGAAGGACCGGATCCGAATTAGCACTTTTAAATAAATTCCGATTTTTTTTAAAGTGAAAAACTAATTCCAATTTTTTTTTTTCAAAAAAAAAAAATAAAATCGGATTTCAGAATTTCTAAAATTGGAATGGAAGAACTTGTTCCGGAATTGGATAAATTTCAGTCACCTAATACATAAAACACATAATAATAAGTGTAAATTTCAAAAAAAAAAAAATCGGAATTTTCGGAAATCGAAATGGGATTAATAACAGGAATCTCAAAAAATTGGAAAAATTGAAAAAAATCGAAAATGGGAAAATCAGAAAGTTCGTTCCAATTTTCACCCCTAGTGAAATAAATATTCAATCCATGATCAACTAATATTAGAATCCTTCACAAACTTATTACAAGGATTAAGCAGATTATAGTAAGAGAGAAACACAAATCAAATGATACGCTGTCGTTTCAATAATAATTTTATGTTCCTTGTTAATCCTGACAGGATTATTACAAGGATTAAGCAGAGATTATAGCAGATTAAAAACAAATTAATCACATAATCAGGAAAGAAAAGAGAATTACCTACATCTCGATCAAGATTCTTCAAATACATTTTTATTTTCTGCAACAATCGAAGATTCGTCGATGAAAGGAGAAAAAAGGTTATTTGAGATGACTAGAAAAGACTGAAAGAGTGAAGAGAGAGAAGAAAATATCTCGGAGCATGATTTACGTACAGCTTATTGTTTTTGTTTTTCTTTTTGGTCCTCTATGTTGGCCTAATTAGGAATTTAGTCTTTTAAATTGTGAAAACTATAGTTCTGGCCCTCTTATGTTGGTCTAATTAGGAATTTAGTCTTTTAAATCATCAAAATTATAGATTTGGTCCTTTATGATGGTCTAATTAGGGATTTATTCTTTTAAATTATCAAAATTATAGTTTTGGTCCTTTATGTTGGTCTAATTAGGGATTTATTCTTTTAAATTATCAAAATCATAGTTTTGGTCCTCTTTGTTGGCGTAATTAGGGATTTATTCTTTTAAATTATCACAATTATAGTTTTGGTCCTCTTTGTTGGCCTAATTAGGGATTTATTCTTTTAAATTATAGATTTGGTCCTCTTTGTTGGCCTAATGAGGAATTTAGTCTTTTAATTTATCAAAATTATAGTTTTGTCGTTTATGTTGGCCTAATTGGGAATTTAGTCTTTTAAATCATCAAAGTTATAGATTTGGTACTCTATGTTGGTCTAATTAGGAAATTAGTCTTTTAAATTATCAAATTTGGAGTTTTGGTCCTCTATGTTGGCCTAATTAGGGATTTTAATCTTTTAAATTGTCATGTGACAATTTTACATGCAGTAACTTTATAAATAGAGTATTTTTGGTCCTATTTTGCATGGATTTTTTTAATTTAATGATGTGGTAAAAAAATGTTGACATATTTTTTACTTACATAGACACTTGAAAATTGTAATTGTGGCATCGAACTTAGCTTTGATGGAACTTTGATTGGTAGAAGGACGAATTCATAAATCAAGTTAGATGAGCATTTGTAATTTTTAAGTGTCTGTTTTGTCGGCGAGTTTGTTAACTACATATTAAACAAATGGTAGAATTTAAAATTCGAGTTAAATGTGCTACAAGCTAGACTTAAAAAATGTTGCTAATAACGATCAAATTTAGATAGTGAGATGTTGCGCTTTTCTTATTCCACCAAATAAGTCACTCTTACGACCAATAAAAGAGTAAGTTTGCTCAGTTAATTTTGAATAATTTATTGGATGGCAACATTTATTTGTGAGTTTCAACGTTAGTTCATAATTAGTTTAAATCTTATCAAATTTATAATAACACTACTAATTTCTACCTTATAGTCGGTGCGACATTACAAAGTCTAAATGTTATAAAATCACAATAATCAAATAAAAACTAAAATAGAAAAAAAATACATTTTGTCCCTTGTGTTTACCATTGAAATTTTTCCGATCAACCATGTTCCAAAAAATTAAAACACTTTCGGTTCCTTTATTTACAACGTTATGACACATTTGTTCTCCTCCTTTAATGGGTTGTTAGTAGTTCAAGGAATTTAGCAGTTTGTCCCTCGTATTTATGACTAAAACATCTTTGGTCCCTCTCGATTAAAAAAAAAAAAAACCAATTTTTAGTCGGTCGAACCTTGCCATAATTTGATGGAATTGAATTGGGGCGTCCGTGCAGCCACAAACATTTAATTGACCAAGGGGACCAACGGTGTAATAACATGGTAAACTAAAGAACCATATATATTTTTTCTTAATACGGTGACCAATATGAATTTTATGACAAACATAAGGGGTTAAAAGTTAAAACTGTAGTTTTCACTAACTGAAATGATTTGTGCAGGCACATATTAAAGAGTCAGGCACATTTTTTACCATTCTTCAAAAAATAAAAGTGAAAAACTCAAAAACTCTCTCAACCTTTCGATTTTCTTTCGCAAAGCCCGTGCAAATCGTCAACAGATCGGAGGTAATTTTTACGTTTTTACGATCCTCTTGTTATGTAGATTACGAATCCGAAAAAAAAAAGGAAAACAATCGGACTTTGGCCTGCTCGTGTGAATTTACACGAGCGCATCCACTGCGCTCGTGTAAATCCACACGAGCAGGCCTTGTTAATTTTTTTTTTTTTTAATTGCTCACCTGTTTTCACACGAACAGAGACGTTCTGCTCGTGTGATTTCACACGAGCATACCTTCTCTGTTCGTGTGAAATCACACGAGTGGGTTAAAAAAAAAAACAATTTTTTTAGAATTTTTTTAAAAAAAATTAAATAGCTCGTGTGATTTTTTTTACCATAACTATTTACCTTTTGTACTATTCACACGAGCACATGAATAAAAAAAAATTCATCTCCTCGTGTGAATAGTACAAAAGGTAAATAGTTATGGTAAAAAGGTAAAAAATCATGGTAAAAAAGTGCCTGAATGTTTAATTTGGCCTGCGTAAATTATTACCCTTTCACTAAGCTAAAATAGAAACTTAAAAAATCATAAAATAATATAGTTTGCTCCAGAACCTTCAGGAATGAATGAACACTTACGCCACCGCTATATAGTTTACAACTCACAAATGCGATCAAACGTTTACTCAGTTGACAGAATATTCCATTTCCTCAAATTTCTTTCTCGCCGGAGCTTTCTCTCTCCTTAAACCCTAAACCCTAAACCCCAGCAGAAACCGCTTGGAGGAAAACTCAGAAAACAGCTGCTCTGATCTCAGTCTCTTGTCAATGGCGACAGCCGTTCTTCTCAGATCCCTCCGCCGCCGTGAATTTTCCTCCGCCCCTGTTTCTGCTCTTAAAACCGTACGTTCCTGTTTTTTTTCGAGAATTTCAATTCCCGATGAATTCGATTTTGTTTTAATCTTATTTCTCCCCTTTCGTAAATTGTTGTGTGGTATTTCTGTTACGGAATGTGTTTTTTATCTTTACAAGTGTTCATTTCTTTTGATTGTGTTAGATAACGGTAGATTCAGCTAAGAAAAGTTAGTCCTTACTTACTGATCATGATCGGCGTACTATTTGAACTGATGCTAACATGCGCCATGTGAATTTGATGACCACCTTTCTAAAAATAATAATAAAAATAAAAATTGACGAGGATCTTTTGGTCTACTTCTACAAAAATTGGGATGATCTCCTTGTTTTATCTCATGCCTTGGGGAATTTTTTTTCCTGCATGTTTTAGTTTAAGTCTTCTAATGTAATGATTTAACACAGTTGAAGTAGCTGTATTTTTAATGCTTTATTATGTGTATTCTTATTCAGTTCAATGGAAATAGCAAGCTACCGTGGGCGTTTAACACCAAATGGGCTAGTATTGCGAGGCAGTTCAGGTACATTTTCGTATGATTCAAATGTTAGGACCTTGTGAAATGTGGCAGAATTTGTGTTGAAATGGTGACCGAGTTTTCGTGGTTTTTAATTGTGCTTAGATTTCAAATAATCGTAAACGTATTCCTTTTCTTGATGCAGCACGAAATCGTCCGGAAATGATGTTATCGGTATCGACTTGGGTACTACAAACTCTTGTGTTGCTATCATGGAAGGAAAGGTAATATACTAATACTCTGGTTTGTGCCTAAGGATTTTTTTTATTTCTTACTGTCTGTTAAGAATTTGCTTTACTCATTTGAGGACGAAAACTTTTCTTACAGAACCCGAAAGTTATCGAGAATTCCGAGGGTGCCCGTACAACTCCATCTGTCGTTGCTTTCAACCAAAAAGGGGAGCTGTTGGTCGGTACGCCAGCTAAGCGACAGGCTGTCACAAATCCAACGAACACAATCTTCGGAACCAAACGTCTAATCGGCAGACGCTTCGACGATCCTCAGACACAAAAGGAAATGAAAATGGTTCCGTATAAAATTGTTAAAGCTCCGAATGGTGATGCGTGGGTTGAAGCAAACGGGCAGCAATATTCTCCGAGCCAAGTCGGAGCTTTTGTTCTGACAAAGATGAAGGAAACTGCAGAGGCCTACCTGGGAAAATCTGTCAACAAGGCTGTAATAACTGTTCCTGCTTATTTCAATGATGCTCAGAGACAAGCTACGAAGGATGCTGGTAGAATTGCGGGACTCGATGTGGAGAGAATTATTAATGAACCAACTGCAGCTGCTTTGTCGTACGGTCTGAACAACAAAGAAGGCCTTGTTGCTGTTTTCGATCTTGGTGGTGGCACTTTCGATATTTCTATTCTCGAGATATCGAATGGTGTCTTTGAGGTACGTACAAACTTTTGTAGGCTCTGTTTGGATCAAGGAAAAGACTAGGTAAAATAGGTTTTATGTTTTCTGTTTGGTTAGCTATAGGTAAAATCATTTTCCCAAAAAAGGTGATCAAACTCCACGAACCAAACAGAGCCCTAGCGATCTCAAGTTCTCTTCTTTCTCCTCTTGTGTTAACTCATCACAAACATTCTTACACAGGTGAAAGCCACAAATGGAGACACATTCCTAGGTGGAGAAGATTTCGACAACACTCTATTGGAATTCTTAGTAAGCGAATTCAAAAGAACCGAAGCAATCGATCTTTCAAAGGACAAGCTCGCTCTGCAGAGGCTCCGTGAAGCAGCCGAGAAAGCGAAAATCGAGCTCTCATCAACTTCTCAAACCGAAATAAACTTACCCTTTATAACCGCCGACGCATCGGGCGCAAAGCATTTCACTATAACACTAACCAGAGCCAAATTCGAGGCCTTGATGAGTCAACTAATCGAGAGGACTAAAGCCCCATGCAAGAGCTGTCTGAAAGATGCTGGCATATCGATTAAGGATGTCGATGAGGTGCTACTTGTGGGAGGTATGACACGTGTACCAAAGGTTCAAGAAGTGGTTTCGGAAATTTTCGGGAAATCGCCGAGTAAAGGTGTGAATCCGGACGAGGCGGTTGCTATGGGAGCTGCTATTCAGGGCGGTATTTTACGAGGTGATGTGAAGGAGTTGCTTCTTCTTGACGTGACTCCTCTTTCGCTCGGTATTGAGACGTTGGGAGGTATTTTTACGAGATTGATCAATAGGAATACCACTATTCCTACCAAGAAGAGTCAGGTGAGTTGCTGGAGCACTGTCCGCATGTTTATCTCTTTTTACATGTTATAGCCTAGCTATTCAATTTCTTTAACTATAGGGGTGGAAAGTGGATCGGGATTTCCGATTTCCGCCGATTCTGATCCGAATGATTTTGGAACAATATTTTCCATTCTGAAATTTCCGGTTCTGATTTTTTTTTTGGTCGAAATTGGAATATTTATGAGATTCCATTTTTTGATCCGATTTTAATTTCCGAAAATATCCTAAAGTGTTGCATTTTTTTTAAGTTACACTTATGTCATTATTGTTACGCATTTTACATTTACGTGACAGTTCCGAATTCCGATTCGGAACAAGTTTTTTCATTCCAATTTCGGAATTTCCGATTTTCTGATTTGTTGGGAATGGAATTGGAATTACTTTTCAAAAAAAATGAAATCTTTTGAAAGTTCTAATTCTGATCCGATCCGCCAGATTTCCACCCCTATTCAATTATGATTTTCTTATCTTATTGAATATGCTAGTGCTTGGCTAATTTTCCTAGGCCACGTTTGATACGCTTGATTAGACTTGATATACGCCCACTTAAGGCTAATTTTTAATTTGATAGCATGATCGAGGCCCATAATACATATATGATTACATATTCACTGAAACCATATCCTACGTAAATTTACTTCCTTTCTTTAAATTTTTTTAATTATTATTTGTTTTCCGTTTTTCTAGGTATTCTCTACAGCTGCGGACAATCAAACCCAAGTGGGGATAAAAGTATTACAAGGCGAAAGAGAAATGGCTTCAGACAACAAGCTCCTAGGAGAGTTCGATCTCGTAGGCATTCCCCCTTCTCCGCGGGGCCTACCTCAGATAGAAGTGACATTCGATATAGACGCAAACGGTATAGTCACGGTTTCCGCAAAGGACAAAACCACCGGCAAAGAGCAGCAAATCACTATCCGTTCATCCGGCGGTTTATCGGAAGGTGACATAGAGAAGATGGTGAGAGAGGCTGAAATGCACGCGCAGAAAGATCAAGAAAGGAAAGCTTTGATTGATGTTAGAAATAATGCGGATACGATTATATATAGTGTTGAGAAGAGCTTGAACGAGTATAGGGATAGGGTTCCGAAGGAGGTTGTGGCGGAAATCGAGACGGCTGTTTCTGATTTGAGGAATGCGATTGGTGGTGATAGTGTTGAGGGTATTAAGGCGAAGATTGAAAGGGTGAATCAGGCTGTGTCGAAGATTGGACAGCACATGTCTGGCGGCGGCGGCGGCGGCGGTGGTGCCGGAGGTTCTCAAGGTGGTGGTGATCAAGCGCAGGAGGCGGAGTATGAGGAGGTGAAGAAGTAGATAAACTAGCTATACTCTTTCTTTTTGGAAGTATTTTGTGAAAAATGTTATTAGTTTTCGAAAGGACAACTGACAAACTGTAATATGTCGTTTGTTTTGCATGATTGGGATGTGTAACGTGTGAATTTGATGTCATATAACTCAAACTTGTAAGAAGATTCATAGATGAGTGGTGCGATTGTAATTTACCATAATAAGTTACACGTGGAAACCGCCTTCTGTCCGGGTGGTGGATAACGGTCCACGTATTGCAAATTGAAATGGTCACATAATTTATCTCTAAAACCTCTAGAACCAAAAATTTATCTAATTTAATTATTAATTATTATTATTATTATTTATATTATCAAAATTTTCATTGGTGATGGGCAAAATCACAGCATTTGCAATTTCTTCTAGAACTCTCTTTGACAAACCCACCTCTCTCTCTAGATTTCTTCTTCACCAAATTAATAATAATAATTACAATATCAATAAACACAGCTCGTGTATCAGTATTTTGCCAGGTAGGGTTTCTGGTTTGACAGTAAATCAGAGCAGAAGGAGCTTCAGAAGTGGGATCGTAGCCATGGCGGGAGATGGGCCGGTGAACAAGTCCGTTGAAGAGTGGCGTGCGGTTCTTTCGCCGGAGCAGTTCCGTGTTTTGAGGCTCAAGGGCACTGAGTAAGTCCTACTTGCTGCCTATTTACCTTTTCGATTAATCTATGTGCCCAGAAATGGCAGTTATGTAAATTTACAAAAAAGATTATTTCGTCCAATTACAAATCTCTCCTTGTGTTATAATTTTAATTAATTTGAATTTAAATTTGATTTCTCTCTCTCTCTCTCTCTCTCTCTCTCTCTCTCTAATATGATTACCATGATCCCAAATTTCAATGTATTAACATTAAATGTCAGATTACAACTTTCAATGAAATAGTATTAATTCATTTCATCATCTTCTTTATTTTATCAGATTTGATGTTTTTTTCTTCCATTATTTTTTCTTAATTTATATATATATATATATATATATATATATATAACAACAACAACATTTTTCTACGTTTTCAACATATTTGTTTTCAACATATTTTTTTCTGTCTCTAGAGCTTCAACAAAGTTCCACGGAAAAAAATAATCTCTATTTATATATAATTTTTTTTTCTATTGAAAATGTAAAAACTTGATTAATATTGATTTTGAAGATAGCTTACCAGAAAAATCGGTTTGTATGGTTATTTAAAATAGATTGAAAAATAAATAATATATAAATAATCATAAATTTGTTTGATAATTGTTTTTTGATACTTGTGGTTGGAGTTCACTAGTTGTATAGAGATATCAAAGTACAATCCTGGTTATTAAATGAGTATTTGATAACCCCATTTGATAACAATGGGTTGGAGTTGCTCTTAAATTTTATATCCAAATTCCTATTTAGAATTTGTGATGATTTTTATTTTGTATTTTTTTAATTGACTTATTTTATTTCAGATTATTATTTTGAATTGATTAATAATATAGTAAACTATAAGTTGAAATAAAATTAGCAATAATAATAACAGTCACCCAGTCACCCGAGAAGTCTGCACCACTTCACGTAAATGATTAGTTTTTATTGTTTATTGTGAGAATATGTACAGTAATTGAGTTTATATTTTAGTCTGAAGGTAACTTTAGGAGGGAAATATTTTGCAGGAAAATTAATGGAGCCAAAACTAATAGGGGCATAAATGGTATAAACTATAAATAATAAAAATTAATTAATTTTCTGGCCGGCCAGAATCTGGCCATTTAGCATTGTCCTTACCTTTTTTCTTAATCCTTTTTTTTTTTTTGTTTGCGTTCGCTGAAATTTTAGGGCTTTTGATTTGGTTTGTCTCTGTTTTTGGTTGATTTACACTGTGAAGCGCTCGTCGATATTTTTATGTTCACGTGTTGTTATTTTAGACTTTGTTTAATTGAAAATAGGCTTAAACTTCTAGATGATGTGATTATTTAATTGTCCAAATTAATGTTTTTTTTTTTATTAGAATGCTGAATTAATATGTGGAAATGTATGATCTTACCTTATTCCTTGAGACGTGAACTTATCAGTATTGACCACGATTCTTTTCGGTTCTTACATTAGAAAATAGTTAAATCAAATATATACTAATTGCACATGCAAACTTGGTCAGGCGACCAGGTACAGGGCAATATGACAAGTTTTACGAGGAAGGTGTTTATGAGTGTGCTGGATGTGGGACTCCTCTGTATAAATCCACAACCAAATTTAACTCGGGTTGTGGTTGGCCTGCATTCTATGAGGGTCTCCCTGGTGCAATAAATCGAACCGTAATTAAATTTTTTTCCTTATATTTTCTTAACTTTTTGATGCTTGTCTTGGAATTTTTTCAATCATTAAAATTTTGTAATACTTGTTGCACGGTTTTTATAGAGTGATCCAGATGGGAGGAGGATAGAAATCACGTGTGCGGCTTGTGGGGGCCACCTGGGACATGTTTTCAAAGGTGAAGGGTTTCGTACGCCCACCGACGAACGACACTGTGTCAATAGTGTGTCGTTGAAGTTCACTACCGAAAATTGAGATTCTTGATTGTATTAGTAACTCCTGTTTGAATATGGTGTCTCTCTTTTCTGCTGTTGAAACTGAAAAAAATAATCACTTTTATCTATAATTTCAAGTTACTCGTTATTTTATGCCCAAGTGCATGAAAAGAGAGATGTGATTTTTTTTTTTGGTAAATTGTTAGTAAGGACTGTGTAATAAGGGTTCATTCTTGATATGGTTATGGGTCGGGTCAAGAACCGACCCGCGGTCAACGGTTTCTTTAGCCAAGAACCTATATAGACGGTTCGAATCATCAATTCACAAACTTGTTGAAGTGTGTATATTTTTTTAACGGACACAATCTTGCTATCGTTGTAGATCAACTGTCATATGATTAAGTGACTGCTGTGAATCAGCGGTTTAATTAATATGTTGGTTCAACCATTGTAATTGTTTGGAATTCAAAAACCGGAGAAAATAAGGTCGATTGTGATCGACTGTTAAATCGCTGGTTCATCGATAGGTAGGTGAAACAGCCCTATGATATTATTATTCAATTGTTTAGCAGGAAACTAATTAAGTATGACCACGTGTGAAGTATGTATTCAATAATGGGTTGTTGCCAGTTAAATCCCAAAGCAATAATAGCTGTTGTCTGTTGTTTAATATTGTTTAGTAGTTCTTGATTAGTGCTGAAATCTACCCCCTGAGATTTTCTTTAACAGATCAAATTATATTCTGTGTTCATTACTCTGTGTGTGTGTGAGAGAGAGAGAGGATGTTTACATAGTTTGACGCGGGCTTCTTATCACAAAACGGGACATCTCATGGAGATTTCAAGCTTAGCGGAATCATCATCGTCATCATCGGTAAGTCATTATTTCTCCGCATTAATCTTTAATTCTTCTTTAATTTTTATACGTATATAATCTTTCTCGTTCTTTTCCGTTAGGGAATATTGGACGATTCTCTTTTCCAACAATGGCCCGTAAACCCCAAGAGAATCACCACAAGCAATTCTCAAGCACAAGAACATGTTTTAGCTGAGAGAAAGAGGAGAGAGAAACTCAGCCAAAGATTCATAGCTCTCTCTGCTTTAGTACCTGCTCTCAAAAAGGTATACATATATATACCTCCATAACAAAAATCGTTTCTTTCTTTTCCGAATAAAGTATAATAACAATAATTATAATTTATGATCGGCGAGCAGATGGACAAGGCGACCGTTCTTGGAGATGCAGCAAAGTACATGAAACAGCTACAAGACAAAGTCAAGATTCTCGAGGAGCAATCCAAGAAAACATCAATACCATCCGTAAATGAATCTTTGGTTTTCGTCAAGAAACACGAACAAAATTCTTCTTCGTCCTCGTCGGACGAGAGTTTCCCAGAAATTAAGGCAAGATTGTGTAACAAGGAAGTGCTTATCACAATCCACTGTGTGAAAAGAAAAGGGGTCGTCGAAAAAGCAGTTTCCATGATTGAGAAACTTCATTTGTCGGCTATTAATACTTCGGTGATGAGTTTCGGAGATTCTGCTCTCAGCATAACCGTTCATGCACAGGTTATTATTTTAATTAATTTTTTTTTCCACACTAATCATATCATCAATTTTTACTTATTTTTTATTTTTTTATTTTTGTTGTTGGGATAATAACAGAGGGATGAGGAATTCGACACGAACATGAAGGAGTTGGTTGATGATCTGTACGCGGTGGTTTCGTAGTATTCGGTGTGATGATAAGTTGTTCCGCAAATTTAAATTTAGGCTAATAATTCAGGATGTACTGTGTTTCGCGATAATCTTGTTTTTTTTTTGTGGATTTTTTTTCGGGTGTAAGGCCTGTTTGGCTCTCTCCACCATTGAAGGTATCACTAATGAAAAGCTTGTTTGGCTATAATGTTCATATTGAAGAAGGGTTGTCTTACATGGGGTTCAAATTGTTGGCCATGTTACTAAATTACTTAATTACCCCTCTCCGTAACATGCGCAAATTCATGTTCGTTTGATAACGAATAAAGTCAACTAAACAACAGTTTACGTGTACGATTCAATCAAGTTTAAATTATCATTTCATGTTGGCCATGCGTAATTAATTAATTAATTAATGGATTAAAATAATTCAGGACTGGTCGTCGTTTTGATCAATTAATTGTGACAACTGACAAATGACAAATGCATCGGTAATTATTGATAATTAAATAGAATACTTGACTCATGAACTTCAAGCTCGGTTTCGTGGTGTAGTTGGTTATCACGTCAGTCTAACACACTGAAGGTCTCCGGTTCGAGCCCGGGCGAAGCCATTTAATTAATTTCATTTTGCAGTCGAGTTCTTTTTCGTTTTTTTTTATTATTCATTTGGTGATATATAAAACATCTTAACAGATCTACAAAATGGTTTCGTGGTGTAGTTGGTTATCACGTCAGTCTAACACACTGAAGGTCTCCGGTTCGAACCCGGGCGAAGCCATTTTGAAGTAATTTTTTCATTTTTTGTTTCTCCGCATACATTTCTTGCCCGGTAAAAATAACTTATAGCCTAGGGGTAGGAATTGGAATTGAAAGTTCCAAATCCTGTCGATTTTAATCCAAAATTTTCAATTTTGGAATGATATTTTCAATTTTAAATTCCTCAAATACTATTTTTATCGGTATATACGAGATTTCGATTCTCGATCTTGTTTTAGTTTCCGAAAATTTCAAAATAAATTTCCCTTCGAAGTTTACACTTATAATATATTTATTACTACGTGCTCTTATATTATAGGTGAAAAAAACGGAAATCTCCGAACCCACCGATTTCGATCCAAAAACTTCTGGTTTTGGAACAGGGACAAGTTTTTCATTACAATTTTCGATTTTCGAAACATTTTGTAACCAGGTTGGAATAAGTTTTTTACCACGGAAACAATGAATTCATTTCGAAATTGTTAATTCATAACCGATTAATCCGATTTCACCTGTAACTGGTAACATCCATAAATATCACTAATAAACCATCTTATTTATTTTATTTCTTTTGCCATTTTTATGCTTCAGAAGTTACTTCAATAACATTTTAAACTTCAATAACACATTGTATATAGATATATATAACATTATTTATTAGGGAACAAAAACAAATAAATTACCTTAAAAACACATTAATAAATGATTATATTCTATTTCTTGATAAAGGAAGCCCCCTTCTCAATACTTTCTGCCAACTCCTTCTTTGCTTTCTCCAATCCAACCCTACCAATTAATAAATAAATTAAAATATTTTTCCAATATTTTTAATTAATGCATTAATAAATCATAATAATATTAATAATAATTAATGTAGTCCGTTTTACCTCTCGTACTCGTTCAAAAGTCCCAACTGATATACCTCTTCAGCACCTGCACGACCGAGTCGTACCTTAGAGGCGAAAAACGGGAGTTCGGTAACCTGCATTTGTGTTCAAAAACAATTATTACAAATTTAGTATTATATGTAATATTATTAATTAGTAATTTTAAATTTAAATATATTAAGGCTGATTGAAATAATACCTGGGAAGATACAAAAGCACATTCGACAATGCCAGCATCTCCTCGTAATCCTCGGAGGCATGCATCTGCAAATTTTACTGCCGCATATGCCTACAAAAAAAATTGCATCGTTCTATTATTGCTTCGTTTTTCAGAATTTTATTTTTATTTTTATTTTTATTTTTTTTATTAAATTCACAAACCATTGATAGTGTTGCAGAGCCTGCACCAGCTTTTGCCTGAGAAAAATTAGTGATGTTACGGTTAAAAAAATAAGCTCGATAATTAAAATATTCGGGGAAAAAAAAAAAGAAAATGTGATTTTAGTGTATATACCTGAACTACTTCGGTTCCACCGTCTTGTATGCGTTTGGTGAGGTACTCGACTTCCTCCGGTGTAAAGGAACAGGCAGGTTTTACCTGCAGAATACGAAAAATTGGACAAATTGAAACATAATTAAATTTTATTTTTTTGAAAGTAAAAAAAATCTTATACCCATATTTTCAAAATCTAGAAATTCATTCCGGTTTAGGAAGCTTCCGAAATTTCAAAAGTCGTGTCACCATGATAATATTACCATAATTAATATATTTTTCGGATCGCATTTTTCAATAATTCTTTATATAACTCCGCTTTCGAATAAAAAAAAAGACCCAGAAAAATCGAATATCAAAACTTCGGCGACGATAATGAAAAAAAATTGTTTCTACTAAAATCGGAATTTTTCGAATTGGAAGAGGCAAAATCAAGAAACTCGTCCCAATTTCCGCTCCTAGTTTAATCGAATTTCCACCCTTTTGATGAAAATGGGAAAATTATTTACTCCTACCTGTGATAGGAGGGGTAAAATTGTCACTCCAGCATGCCCTCCAACAACAGGAACATCAACTTCTCTCGGATCAAGTCCCAAAACTTCCGCCTGTTAAAAAAAAGACAAAAAAAGGAATATTCTCAATAAGATTCCAACTTATTCGAATACTCGAAAATTTAATACAAGCTACTCCACTTTATCGCATTCTAAAAATGAAGACGTACCACGAAAGTATTGGCTCTGACAACATCAAGCATGGTGACACCCAAAAGCCTTTTGGGATCGTACGTACCAGCTTTCTTGAAAACCTCAGCTGCAATCGGGACCGTTGAATTCACAGGATTACTGATGAGATTAACAAGAGCGTTCGGGCAAGATTTTGCGATTCCTTCGCAAAGTGTTTTGACGATTCCAGCATTGATTTTGAAAAGGTCGTCCCTCGTCATTCCTGGCTTCCTAGGAACACCCGCAGGAATTATTACAAGGTCCATTCCCGTTAGAGCATTCTCCAGTTGAGGTTGACCAAGAAAACCTCTTACCTAAAAAAAATTAAAAAATCTTATTTCGAACGAGAAACTTAATTTATAAAGTAGTAACTTATAAGCATGACTTTTTGCTAGTTAAAATAACATAAAGAGTTTTTATAACCTTGCGAGTGTCATTTGTTTAGCCGTGTTCTTTAGAACGACGATGCTCTTGTAGTGATTCAATATATTAGTTTTTAATTGTTATCGATACTTTCGTGTTGTATCGAAGGGCTCAGAAACTAGTTTTTGTTTTGAAGAACTTATTTACTTATTCATTCAATATTATTTGTGCTATTTTTTGGACAGATTTTGAACTGATTTCGACTCTTCTTGTTTTTGGGAAAGTGTTTGTTATGTATTTAAAACAACCAAACTACTATCCTCCCAACACTTTGAATTAGGGGTGTGAACAAGCCGAGCTCGCCTGTTTTGGAAGGCTCGAGCTCGACGAGTTGAGATTTTCTGGCTCGAGCTCGGTTCGAGGTTTAAAAATAATTAGCTCATTAATAAAATAATTCTATTTTTAATAATAATAATAATAATAATAATAATAATAATAATAATAATAATAATAATAATAATAATAATAATAATAATAATAATAATAATAATAATAATAATAATTATTATTATTATTATTATTATTATTATTATTATTATTTTATTGTATAATATTAAAATAAAATAAAATAAAATAAATAAATAAGAAGCTCGTGAGCCCGCTCGCAAGCCGTCGAACAACTATAATCATGCTCGAGCTCGAGATCGAGATCGAAAAACCGAAGCTCGAATTTGAGCTTTTGTCGAGTAAAGCTCGTTTACCACCCCTACTTTGAATCAAACATGATTTGACTGTTATCTACCAAACAAATCTAATTTAACTTTATTTCATAAAAAGTCTTCCCCCAAACAAGGCCTAACTAAAATTGGAGGGTAAATAAAGAAGGAACTTACAACAGCACCAGTATCCATATGGCTGACGTCAGCAGTGACACCAGGGGCATTAACGACGTCGTATAGATGAAGAACAGAGACCAATGGATTCATCTTCATCAGCATTGCAAGCGGTTGCCCTATTCCTCCGGCGGCCCCCAATATCGCAACTTTGAAACCGGGGGCGCCCCCCTTCGCCCTGCAATCCGCCCCCCTCAGTATCGGAGAATTCTCCCCCCATCTTTTTCAACCACATCAACAAAACCAATTTAGTATATAACCATAAATTTAAAAAATTAAAAAAAAAAAAAAAAATTGAAAATTTTGCGAATGAAAATTGAAATTGAAATTGAAATTGAAATTGCATGAATTGGGGATAAGAAACCTGAGGATTTGAAGGGTGGAGATGAGCTGAAATCCTCGCGATCCTCTGATTGAACTCCATTTTTTTTTCTTTTTTTTTTTGTGATTATTTTTTTTCTAGTTGGAGTGAGGTTTGATGATAGTGTGTGTGGATAAATGTGGAGTTTGTGTGTATAATAAGGTGGTGAAAATTATATATGTGGAAATTTGAAAATTTTTGAGCCTTTGTTTATGTATCCACTTTTTGTGGCTCTTAGCTTATAGATTATTATTATTTTTTTTATTTTTTTTTTGTATTTTTGTATAAAAGAATAAATAATATTGTTGCTATAATAATAATAATATGACAAATTGTGGAACTTTTGAGTTTTGTCAATATTCAAACAATTGAAGACAACTTGTACAAGCCCATACTTTGGGAAGGTATTTTTTTATAATATCTATTAACTTTCACAATAATTTAAAACAATAAGACGTAAGAACTTATTATCAATTAAAATAGTTTATTAGATATAAGAGAATATCGGTTGTTTAAAATAAGTTTTTTCAAACATAGCTCGTAATAAATGGTCGGATATACATGCATAAGGGTGTAAACGAGCTGAGCATAGCTGTTTTGGCAAGCTCGAGCTCGCATCCATTTTTACGAGCTCGAGCCCTTCGAGTATTGTTCTTCTGAGCTCGAGCTCAAGCGAGGCGAGCTCGAACCTAAGCGATTTTGTGTATTTTTAATTACATGTAATTTATTTTTTAAATTATTTATTTTATATTAATTATATTTCAAATAAAAAAATGAAAAAAAAAAAAAAGCTCGCAAACCGGCACGCGAGCTCACGAATAACTAATAATGAGTTCGACTCGTTCCTGAAAAAGCTTAACTCGCGCGCTCAAACTGAACTAAATTCAAGTTTGAGTTCGAGTTTTTGTCGAGCAAGCTCACCGAGCTCACAAGCTAGCTCGACTCATTTACACCCATATAATATAGATAAGTGAACAACACATGTATAGGAAAACCAACCCTCATTATGAGAGTTGGTACCTAGCCTCAATAGGGTAAATATTTAGGGTTTGAGTCCCCCTCCCCTACTTTCCCTTGTTTTTTTTTTTTTTTTTTTTTTTGTTGGAGTAAATTCAAGTCCATTACAAAGGGAAGTAGGGAAGGGGGGACTCGAACCCTAGACCTTACCCTATTAGTAAAGGCTAGTTACCAACTTCCCTAATAAGAGTTGGTACTTTCCTTTGTAATTGAATTGAATTTACTATAAAAAAAAATGTATAGGAAAAATAAAAAGGGAAAAAGAAAAGAAAAAAAGAAGTAATGATCTCTCTCTATCTCATCCAATCCAATAAATTTTCCTAGTTTGGTATTATAACGGATGGGCTTTCAAAGTGGCCCAAATTGTTACCTCTTTTGTATACCAAACTCTTTAGATCTTTTGGGCCCATAATGGGTAGCAACGTTAAACCAAATCCAACTTAAAAACATATAAATATTAATTGGAAATTTCAATATTGAATAACCTTCATAAAATGAAATTAAATATTCGAAAGATTTAATGTTAGCATTTTATTTCCTTGTAAATGATTAGATGAGTTTAGGTAATCATTCCACTCTCAAATTTAGAATTTTTTATCTTCTTTTTTTAAATGAGAGAAACCAACTATCTAGATCATAGTTGCACTGGATAAACATACACTCATGTATAATAGCTTACAAGTCATACGAGAGACGTAAAACACAGTAGGCTAATCATGTGCGACAAGCTCGACCTAGCAACCGTTGTCAAGTGAATCGAAGTTGGGTCAACTGATACAAACTCACTTGCTCCAACTGCTAGGTCATTTCTTGTGGGACTCAAATTTAGACTTGCTTCCGCGAAAAAACATATATAAAGGTGGTGTTTAAAAAAATTATAATATAATTAGGACTTATTAAAGCTAAATCAATCAACTAATCTATAGTAAATAGCAATATGAACGAGAAGAGGATCTTTTACTTTTGTTACTAGACTTATGGAGATGGTGATGGTGATACACATATATATATAGATAAATTATAAATTTATAGTCAAGCCCATACACATTTATATATGCATGTGAAAATATATATAGTTAAAAATCCAATATAATGATAAATAGGAAGGTATGTTATTGCAATAATAATTAGGATAAATTACAACCACAAAAAAAATTCCTCTTTAGTTTTCTACAGTTTGTAATTTTCTTACATTCAACCCCTATAAAAGGGTGTTATTATAAGAAATCTATAAATTTTAGAAGAATTATGTAATTACGAATAAATGATGGATTTCTTTATAAATAGACATTTCCTCGGGGACCATTATAATTTACCCTAATATTAAATTGGCGGCGACCAACTATATTGCAATCGTGTTGAAAATTGGGTAATTGGAATTTGTTGGATGGACCTCCATTTGCGACTTATTGCTCCTTCAATCCCACACAAAAGTCTATATATATACCATGATATTACTTACTATTTATACATACATGGTGATATGAACTATATATATATAAAATAAATTATTAATAGTATCAATTCTACGAGGAGAAATAACTAACTTACTACAATAGAGGTTGTATTTGTCATTTCATTTATGATATGAGAAGTATTATTTTACAGGATACCATATTAACCCCTTTTGGATTGATCTTTTAATTGTCAAACATTTTGCTCAAGTAATGATATATATATATATATATATATATAAAAGAGAAACTCAATAAATAAATAAGAGAAAAAGATAGACAAACAATAGTAGTTCTAACGCATGGAACTGTTATTGTTTTCATAAGGCTCAGTTCCCTATTGTCCATTGTTTAATCCAGAAATATAAATAGGTGGCGACTCCAATCGAAAACCAGCACCAACCCACAACCACACAGACTAAAAAACTCTAGAAAGCTCACATTGAGTTGATTCACCAATGTTAACACATGCACAGTCAACTAGTTACGTTAAAAGGAACTCTCTCACACTCAGTTAACCCCAGTTTTCTCTCGCTAGCTAGCTCGGAGACTCAATATATCACACACATAAGGAGATTGAAAGAAGAAAACTCAGAGATGCGTATAGATAAGTGTTGCGTAGATTTATTGAACTGGACTTTAGTCGTTGGCTTGGACATTTATTAAAGCATGGGCCGATCGCAACCGTCCACATTTCTAGTGACCGTTACTCTCTCTCTCTCTCTCTCTCTAAATTTTTGGTTATCTTTTAGCATCATGAAATTTAATGTGGGTCATTAGTGAAGTTGAGGGGTATAAGTTGTAGTTGGCTGCAAACTATATACTATAGAAAATGATCAAATTAAATCCATAATTTAAGCCCCCATATATATTTTGAAGTTGTAATTGAAGATATATTAATGCTGGCCGCAGTTCTTGTTGATCACCTCATTAAGCCATTATTACATTAAATGTCACCTCATAAAATATCAAGACTTATCAATAAATAGCTTGCGTAGAAAAGTTTAGAGTTTATAAATGAATTTAATTACAAGGTGAAATATGAACTTATAAGTGTAATGAAATAATCTGCAACCAACTCTATATATAATAGTTTGCAAACAATACGAGAGAAGTAAACCACACTAGATTAATCATGTGTGACGACGACAAGTTTGACTTAGTAAACCGTCAGCAAGGAAATACGAACATGGGTTAATTAACACAGACTCACTTGCTTTAACCGTTAGATCATCGTCATTTGCAGCGGGACATACGAAAACTAGCCTTCATTAATAACTCTCTTATACTTGGTGTAATTAATTGAAAAATGTCTCTTGTTTTGACTTAGTGGTTAGTAGGGTGTAAACGAGTGTGTAAATGAAACTTTAACTAGGAGACTTTGGCACTACCATCCAATTAATTAGGTTAAGTATATACTTATCATTCAAATAAAACATTTTTTTTATTTTTTTATTGTCTTCCTTAAGCTGGGCAAACAAGACTTTCATATTGTCTTCAAACCCATTTCCCACAATGAAAAATTAAAAAAAGTATACTAGATTCATATATATAAAGTCTATATATATATATATATATATATATATATATATATATATATATATATTGTGCATATATATATACATACACACACGTCTGTATATGTATATGTATATGTACCTGCATACCAAAAGGGAAAAAGGATTATTGAAAATTTGAAACAAAAAAAGTGAGTCAAAACCAGAAAAAAAGTAATACATACGTATGCTAATGTGAAACCTTAAACCTATGTTGTGTATTCTCTTTTTCTGTGGGTTATTAGGTTTATTGCGTTAGGTCAAAGTTGGAGAACTTGAATGTATATATACACAGACATGCACACATACTGTAGAATTTCGAATTTCGATAGATTAGTACTCGATAAATGAATAACCTCGCTTAAATAATAAATTCTTCTTAGGTGAGAACGTGCTAAATTATTAACTCGCTAATAATTTAATCATTTCGCTAAATTAATAGAATTTCCCTAGTCCTGATTATATTAATTTATTGAGGTTTAACTATATATATAACTTTCAGAAAAGTCCCACAAAAAATGACATAACGATTGGAGCAACTCATGAATTTAATTCACTGTAAATTGACTAAGTTCAAATCTCCTTGTCGAACTTGTCACACATGGTTCGCCTAGTGTGGTGTACCGCGTCTCTCGTATAGTTTGCAAGTTATTATACGAGAGTGTAAATTTACCCAGTGCACATATATGGTTAATTGCTGGTTCTTTCATTACTTTAAAAAAATCAGAAAATATTATTCATTTTTTGCTCATTGAATTAGTTATCATGTAACCAAATTGTACGATTTAGAACACGTCGATTTCTTTGAGAAATCGAAAAAAAAAATCTCAGATATTATTATTAATTGTTATGAGTAATGTGTATAAATAACATATCATGTCAATAATTTCAGTTATACGACCTATAATTTATTACAATTAATTAATATAACTGGTTTAATTCCATAAAAAAACAAATTTAATTCAAATTATTCACCTTTTCATACTATATAGTATATATAATAATTCAAACCGGTCCAAAATTGCTAGACGAAAATGTTCATAGTAGCACAAAATTGACTTCTGCATGGGAATTTGTGCAATCTATATCTATATTTTTTCTGCATGAAATTGTCGAAAAATGTAACCAGAGAAGGTATGGGGGTGTGGGGGTCAAATTCGGCCCCCTTTGACTCATTCAGCAAAGTAAGTTACATATATATAATAATGATTTCTAAATTAATTAACAGATAATCCGTGTGCTTAAAGCTTAACTAATTAAGAGTACTAACCGTATTTAAATAATTTATTAGTAATATATTTAATTACTCCATAGAGTAAACTGACTGAGTCAGTTTAATTATAATCATTTTACACTAATATGTTTCAGTTAGTGGCCTGTAATTTTGGATTTTGTTCTTGTAATATTTTGCAATTTTGTTTGAAATTTGTTATTATCTTTTAGCATTTGTAATTGTAGCATGGCATTTATTTAATAATTAATAACTAAGCATTGACTAGAATGTAAGATTTTGACTTTTGAAGTCTTTGGTGGTGTAGGTAATCCGTTGGCTAAATTTCAACTAGCCATACTTTCTGGCCTAACTTAAAAATTTCTCAAATGGTAACTTGATGGAAATTTGGAAATAGTATTATAAAATTATTCTATTTAATAATAGGAATTAGTAACACGTTCGATTCAGAAGAAGCAATTTAACTCGGACCTGCAATAAAAGTTGAGCATTGTAATATTTATGAGCTTAAAAGTATCGAGCTATCCAATGTATTAGTCCTTTGGTTATTAAATAATCGTCTCTTTTTCATCTTTGCATAAGTATTAACAAACTCAATAAACGTGGCTTGATTTTAATAAAATTAAATAAAAATGACTAAATAATATTTATCGTTTAATGATTTATGAGATTAAGTTAATATTTAAAGTTGAATTAATAAGGTCAAATCATAAAATTATACATTTAATTTAGGAAAAATGTAGTTTTCATCTATTAAGTTTGCACCGATTTCACATTCGGTCCCCTATTTTTATAAAAAACACATTTGGTCTCTCATGTTTCAAAAATTAGATATTTTTAGTCTTTTTCTGTCAATTTTCTATTAGTACTAACGAAATCAAGGTATGTCTATCACTGCCTCAACTGACTGACTAACGGTCAATTGACGTAAATGACCATAAATGTTAAATTCTTTAAACATGAAGGACCAAATATGTATTTTGTGAACATGAGAGTACCAAATGTAAAATCGGTGCAAATTTGAGAGTTAAAAGCTTTATTTTTCCTGATTTGTAAAATAACAGATAATATGGAACATTTTTTTTTCAAAAGTACCAGTACTTATGGAATATAAGGGTAAATTACAACCACCCCTGATGTACAGTTAAATTACAAAAAAAAAGGACCTCGTGTTTGGATAATTACACCCCTCAACTATAAATCTTCTTACATCTCCACCCTTATGATGTCAAATTCAACATAATCATCTAGATTTCGTAGATTTCGTGGAATGTGCTCTAGTTTGTACTCGTTTTGTTCCAAAATACTATTTCTGATGCACCACCATCTTATATATACAAACCAAAAACACATCTTATAATCATCTAGCTTCAAAATCTGGAGCTCGAATGCGATAAAACGGATCCAAAATTGAGAATATTCCATACAATCTAGAAGATTCCACTAAATTTGAAACCGCAAAAATGGACATATAATAAATTTATAGTAAAGGGTGTTTGTAATTATCCATACAAGAGGATTTTTTATAATTTGACCGTACCTCAAAATTAGTTGTAATTTACCAAGGAATATAATTATGCAACATTAATACAAAATTAATTCCTATCTAGTGTCTATCTGTCTAACTATTTCAAAAATTCAATTCTCTAGCATGCCTTATGTTCTGCCACGCCTCTCAATCAAATACCAGAAAAATAAAAAATAATTAAATTAAATTAAATAAATATATAATAATTGGTGCGGTATTAATTGTGATTTGTGACGTACAAATTAAATTAGGGTTCATCAAACCGCCATGATCCCGAGTGTAGGATAGCCCAACTTTACTCCCCAAAAAATTAAATCAATAAAAATAAAAATAATATTTAATAAATTATTAGTATATTAATTCTTTTGTATGTATACGCCTAATACACGTTTTCCGTATGATGACCAAGCCGAGCCGTTAAAGCCACCTCCTCTTTTCCGTTTCCCCTATTTATACGCGCCATACAAACTCCAAACAACACACGAAAATCGAGTGCGCACACAAAAAAAGGAAAAAAAAAAAGGGGAGAATTCTCGCCGATTAAACTTCCGATCACCGTCAACAATCAATCAATCATCGCCGTCGCGACACCGTCACAGTGGTCGGAAATGGTGATGATCGATCAGTACATATTCGGGGGTTTCGTCGCTTCTCTGTTCGCGTTCGTGTTGCTGTACAGTTTGCGGAGGAGGACAATTGGGAAAACGAAGGGCGGCGCGTCGAAGGCTGCGACTGCGAGCATCGACGAATGCGTCACCAGCCCCGCCGCGGACGGCGGTTCCAAGGCGGAATCCGGTGGAGACGCTGACGTCATCATTGTCGGCGCCGGCGTTGCTGGGGCTGCCCTCGCTTATACCCTCGGAAAGGTGAGGGATTCTGAATTTGTCCGTCTAGAATTCCGTCTTTTTTTTTATTTATTTTTTTAACGATCCAAATTCTGCATGATTTAGATTTATTATTTTTTAATATTTAATATTTTTTTATTTAGATTTTGTTTTTCCCATGTTATTTGGATTTAAAAACCTAATTAAATATTTCAAGTAGTTGCCTTTGTATTTCTTATGTATTCATTCATTTTGAATTAAAAAGACAGAGATCTGATTATCAGTAGCGAAGCCAGCATAGGTTCAGGGGGCCACGGCCCCCTAACACAGCTAAAATTGTTAATTTTCGAGTAAATATTAGTGTGTACTTGGAAGTGGTAAAGATAAATCATGGTTTCGCCACTGCTGATTATTGCTCGTGTGGACGATATTTTGTTAAATTTAAATAAAAGGTGCTAAGAAATTGGATGAAATAAAATCAAAAGAACCCTGATTTTTTAAATTTTGTTATATAATATATCAAATTAAAGCATGAACCTGATTTTATTTGTATAATTTATATTATAGGAAGGGCGTCGAGTTCGTGTGATCGAAAGAGACTTGACCGAGCCGGATCGTATTGTCGGTGAACTCCTACAGCCAGGTGGCTACTTAAAATTGATCGAGTTAGGCCTCGAAGGTATATATAAAAAAAAATCTTCATCTGCCAAATTTAATTAATTTTTTCGGCAACTAAAATATTTATTGCATTTGTGGTCCAAAATTTAATTAGTTGCTGCCAAAGTTTGGTGTGTTCATTAAATTTGTGTGCCTAGAGTTGGTTGTGATCACATGATGTAATAACTCTACAATTACGTCGATGCAGATTGTTTGAGTAATATTGATGCTCAACGAGTTTTCGGATATGCCCTTTACAAGGATGGTAAAGACACGAAATTATCTTATCCGCTCGAGAAATTTGACTCGGATGTTTCCGGAAGGAGCTTCCATAATGGCCGGTTCATACAGAGAATGAGAGAAAAGGCTTCGACTGTTGCAAAGTATAAATTTCTTTAACTTTGAAATTTATTTTTCTTCATTTCGCACTTTATTTAAAGATTAAGTGAGGCTGAAAGACTTGACCATAGGAAAATTCAAAAAATGTTAGGAAAATGGATTTTTTTTAACTCATGACTTTAGTGTTATTTATTTATTTATTTATTCTAATGGTGCAGTGTAAGAATCGAACAAGGAACAGTTACTTCATTGCTCGAAGAGAATGGAACTGTTAAAGGAGTACAATACAAAACAAAGAAGGGAGAAGAAATCACTGCTTATGCCCCTCTTACAGTTGTTTGTGACGGTTGTTTTTCGAACCTGAGGCGCTCTCTCTGTACTCCCGAGGTAAATATTATATCCCGGACATATATTTAAACGTTTCTTGATTTTATTTCTTTTTAATTAATTTGTATTAGTATTTTTCACTAAGCAGGTTTTTATTTCTTTTTGCATGATTATAGGTGGAAAATCCATCATGTTTCGTCGGATTAATCCTCGAAAATTGCGATCTCCCACACGCTAATCACGGGCATGTTGTTCTTGGAGATCCTTCGCCTATTCTATTCTATCCAATCAGCAGCACAGAGATTCGATGTTTAGTCGATGTACCTGGACAAAAAGTTCCTTCAATTGCTAGCGGTGAAATGGCTAATTACTTGAAGACTGTAGTTGCTCCTCAGGTACCTCTAAAAATTCAATCTTTTTCTTTTTTCTACTTTGCAAAAATTACTGTTACAGAACTAATTGAAAGAATTTTTTTTTTATTTTCAGATTCCTCCTCAGCTTTACAATTCTTTTATAGCTGCCATCGAGAAAGGGAATATAAGGACAATGCCGAACAGAAGCATGCCAGCAAATCCACACCCTACACCAGGTGCACTTCTAATGGGAGATGCATTCAACATGAGACATCCTTTGACAGGTGGCGGAATGACAGTTGCCTTATCCGATATTGTTCTTTTACGTGATCTTCTTAGACCTATACACGATCTAAACGATGCTTCGATCCTTTGCAAGTATCTCGAATCCTTCTACACTCTAAGAAAGGTAAAAAAAATAAGATAAAAAAAAACATAAATAATAGAAATTCAAGAATGATATTTTTAATATTATTTATATTGCAGCCGGTGGCATCTACAATCAATACTTTGGCAGGAGCCCTTTACAAGGTTTTCTGTGCATCGCCCGATCCTGCAAGAAACGAAATGAGAAGGGCTTGTTTTGACTATCTTAGCCTTGGAGGGGTTTGCTCTAACGGGCCTATTTCGCTCCTCTCGGGCCTAAATCCGAGCCCGTTAAGCCTCTTTCTCCATTTCTTCTCCGTGGCTGTTTTTGGAGTTGGTCGATTATTGCTTCCGTTTCCTTCTCCACAGAGGGTGTGGTTGGGTGCTAGACTGCTATCAGTGAGTCTACTCATACGAATATTCATTACAAATATATTCGTTCTATGTTTGGACTTTCTAACATCGTCTTTGTATGTATAATAACAGGGTGCATCTGGAATTATTTTCCCAATTATAAAAGCTGAAGGAGTTAGACAGATGTTCTTCCCGGCTACAGTTCCAGCCTACTACAGATCTCCCCCTGTTAATTAAAGATAAATAATCGACGGAATTCTCCTATTCGTTATTTTTTGTGTAGTTTGCTTTTCTTGAAATGGTGTTTATTAGTTTGTGTTATTTTGTTGGTGTTTTTTACTTTTTAGCCTTTAAACAAAGGCATGTGGAGAAGACCAATACGAGATTTAAAGATTAGAATATATTGTAAAGCTTCTTATGTTCTTAGAACATGAAATAAATATTTACATCTCAAACTTGTATTTTATCACTTGTAATGTAATAAAATATGTTTACTATCTTCTCTTGAATTCTTGGACAATGAACAAACCAGAATGATTTTGTCTCGCTTTCCGAACTAAGCATGAAAAACAAGATCATGCTACGTGAATCATGTTCGGTTCCTCAATAATGTTGAGTAAAATCAAGATTAAATCACGGGGGAAAGATTGTTTGTTCACACAATCAATTGGGCAAAACTCAATCATCTGAATCATTACAACTTAAAAGAATCAATTATTCATACGTAAAAGGCTTTTTCGTACACATTTTGGCTTTTTATACCTTATCTTTTTAGAAAAATAGAGGCATCCCATCCATTTTTAACAATCTTCAAATCTCGCATAAGGCCCCCAAAATCTCAAGAAATTCATGTGAAGTTTACACACATCAACAAGTACATGTGTAAACTAAATATGGGAAAAGCCAATTACAAATCAAATGTTTGGTAACAATCTCATAGACAAGTGTTAAGATTGCAAGTGAGAAACCAAATCAATTCTGTAATAATTTGAAAATAAACATATCTCAAAGATTTTATCTTTGGGGAAAAAAGATAACCAACAAGTGAACAATGAAATTGCCAATTTTCATTTTCAAAATGCAGATCTGCTACAGATCAGGTCAAAAAGTGTAAAAAGGTACAATCTTTTTTTCTTTTTCACCAGAAACAAACAAACAAAACACCTATTTACCTAAAAATCCCACCACAACATGAAAATTACAGTTATGCCCTCTCACCCCTAATCCTCCTGGCAAGCTGGATATCCTTGGGCATAATCGTGACCCTCTTAGCGTGAATCGCGCAGAGGTTGGTGTCCTCGAACAGCCCTACGAGGTAGGCCTCCGCCGCCTCCTGGAGCGCCGCCACGGCGGAGCTCTGAAATCTCAGATCCGTTTTGAAGTCCTGCGCTATCTCGCGGACGAGCCTCTGGAAGGGGAGCTTTCGGATCAGAAGCTCGGTGGATTTCTGGTACTTGCGGATCTCACGCAGGGCGACTGTTCCAGGGCGGAAGCGGTGGGGCTTCTTCACTCCGCCGGTGGCCGGAGCGGATTTCCTGGCGGCTTTGGTTGCCAGCTGCTTCCGCGGCGCCTTTCCGCCGGTGGATTTGCGGGCTGTTTGCTTCGTGCGTGCCATTTTCTAGGGTTGGAGGTTTTGGGGATGATGGAGTGATTGATGCGAGAGGGGGGTATTTATTGGGGTTTGAAAATTTAGGCGGGATATGATTTTGATCTGTGCCGTTGATTTCGTTTTTTGAAATCAGGGGTTGTGATTTAGTTATGGGCGGATGTGTCTGGATTGTTGACGTGGCGTGGTAATGAGTCGTAGATGAAGGTTGGGATCCAACGGCAGTTGATGAGGGAGGCGCGGATTGATGACCTGGTGCGGTAGTGAGATTTAGATGGTGGTTTCTAACGGTAGATGATTAGTGTTGTGACTTGTGCGGATCGATGACCTAAGGCCTAAAATATGCAATTTTGAAATGCTAATTCCTAAAATATGAAGAAAATTGAACCTTAATTTAGGATGTAAACTTTTAATTACAGTTTATGTAGTTGCGTTAAAATAAATTTATATTGAAATCTTCAACAAAAAAAAATCGAAAAATGAAAAATGAAACCAAAAATCGAATAATCAAACCGCTGTAAACCGTACCGAATTAGAAACCCACGATATCGTTTTTATTTATTTATGTTGAACCAAACGTATTGGTTCATGTTTGGTTTTTATGCCAAAGTAGGGGTGGAAATTGGAACGGAATTTCCGAATTCCGCCAATTCCGATCCGAAAATATCCGAATTTGGAACCCGTTTTTTCACTCCGATTTTCGATATTCCGATATCCGATATTTTCGATTATTTTTGGAACGGAATTGGAATTACATATAAAATTATTGGAAATTCCGATTTCCGATCCTATTTTATTCCGAAATATATAATGTATGATATATATTATATAAAAAATATAAATGTTATGAATTGATAATATATATATATATATATATATTGTATTTCTAAATTGTTTTTCTATCTATGTTTTACAAGAACTATGTTTGATTTGATAAACTGGTTATGTTGTTTTTACAAGTGTTTACACATTTTATTGGCCTTTATTTTGGATTCTTGCATTTTTTTGTCGGAAAATTACGAAAATATTAGGAAATAAAATCTTAAAATTACCATTATTTCCGATTTTGGAACAAAAAATTAAGAATTAATGCAATTTCCGAAAATTCCGAGATCCCGCCGATTCCGAGGTATTCCGAAATTGGAATGGATTTTGAAATTCCAATTTTTTTGGAACGGAAATTGGAACCTATTTTTAACTTCCGAAAAAAAATAGAAATTTTCTGAAAAAAATATTTCCGATCCATTCCGTCCGATTTCCACCCCTATGCCAAAGTAATTGGTCCGAAAATATGGAACTGAACTAAAAACATAAATGAAATACTTTATTGTTTTATGTCAACAATTAGTATTCTTTCTTTTAACCATACTTTCATTGGTTCTGTAGAACCTACATTTGGTGAAAGAAGTCATATAATTTTACACAATTGATCTACACATAATAATACACACATTTATATGCACGTGTACTTAGTCGGTAGTTATTTATGCAGATCTACGGTTTAAAACCACATGGTGTATATTACCGGGTGTAGGATCTCATACGCACAACTGTAATTTGTAGTGAAAGATAATCTTATTACATGTACAAACATCGAGTACTCGAGTCGTTGTAAACAATTAAGAAATACGACTTTCCTCTTCACTTTCAACGGCTACACAGTTCAAACTGCCTCACTACGAATGCTTACATACATCGGACCAAAACTTCTTCCCACCAAAGAACTAACCTAGTAATTAGTATATATCATAATGCTATATATTATCTCCTTTATCATGAATCATCAACATGGTGATCAGTTTCATCGAATATTTCCTCCTGCAAGAAACGAATCAAATCATATACGATTTACCTAATTCCCCAAAAAAGAAAGAAAAAAAAACGAAAAAAAAACACAAAGTGACTTGTAATAATAATAACCTGTAAAAGCTCTTCAATGACATCTTCCATAGTAATTATTCCTACAGCCTCTTCTTCTTCCGGAAGCTTCGGAAGTGGACTCCCGTCGATTTCAAGAATGTCCGAATACATGTTCTTTGTCCACTTCTTACTCCTAGTTGTACCCTTGAAGGAATTACTTCCATTGTTTGGGAAACTCTTCCATTTCTGCAGGGGTCTTTTCGTCTTTACACTTTTATCCGACCAAGGCTTCTCGACGTCGATATCCACCCTCACATCCTTGACTGAATCTACTGCATCCACAGCCATTGACTTGTTACATTGTCTCACAACAACAGCCATGTGGCTATGACCCTTCTGGAATTCATTCAAGATGTCGTATAACGGCAGAGTTTCTGGAACCCTAACAAAAACAGAGGAACTCGTTTACCACGTGTAAGTTGTAACCTTGCCTAGGGAAATGTGTTGTTTGCTAATCTTGTCTTATTATTATTATTATTATTATTTTTTTTATTTTTTTTTATTAATTTTTTTTTTCGACTTCATATGGATTGAGATAGAAGAGATATAACTAAGTTTCAGTTCAGAGAAGAACACCACCTTGGAATTCTGCGAATGGTGAGACTCTTCACTGGGACTCCGTCATCGGGATGAACGGTTAACAAGTTTTTCACCTACCAAGGAAAAAAAAGGAATCAATTATCAATGAAACTTGAATAGATAATTTGACATGTTCATGGGCATTCGTTAATGATGGAGGAAAAATAGGAGGGGGGTAATTTTGAAAGCACGGCCGATTCTTGGTGTGTGGGTTCTTTCGATGAAAATGCACCGAGGATCTTGAAATTTTCCATTGGCTTTAATAAATTCATTTAAAAGCAAATCTTAGGATATTTTAATAAGAGGAAAAAAAAAAACAAAAGGGAATAACTAGTTAGTCAGTGGAACATCACAGAAGATGAGACGAGTACCAAGACAAGCCCAATAATGTTCGTAGGTTGCTCATAGTAGACAGGAACTCTGCTATGTCCTTTCTCCAGAATCAGATTCATCAACACTCTGTACCATAATAAAACGCAATGTTGTTATTGTCAGCATTACACAACACGAGATGGGTAAACTGTAATAAAAATCATTTGTTACCTATCGAGCTTTGCGTTTATATCAATAGCAAAAGTTTCGGATATCGGAGTCATGGCATCACTAGCAGTTTTCTCACTGAGCTCTAGTGCCCCGGCAATAATAGTTGTCTCGTCGTGTGTCAGTTCTCCACCTTTACCAGCCTGTATAAATGAAGCAAAAATAGGATGAAGAAATATTTCAATTTGAACTAAACAAAAGCAGGATAAATAAAAATATAGTGCCAGGTTTTATGATTCTCCCTTACCTCATTGCCATGAAAATTAACAAGGGTTTTCAACTCAGCACGTCGAAATAGAGCTCTGTGTCCATTTCCAAGCAGTGAATCCAACAACTGGAAGTAACAGAAACATATTTAGCAAAGGTGTGAAAATTGTGGGCATTCGCATAAATTCTCGGCAATGCAGATATTGACTGTAAAAAGATAAATATGTACCTTGCTTATTGGATATGCAACTGGGAAACAGATCCAGACAAGAACACGAACCACTGGGGCCATAGCTGCACCAATAGAAAGTCCATATCTAGAACAAACAGATTGTGGGATGATCTGAGAAAAAAAAAAAAAAACCATAAATTCATCATTAAATCGCATCTAGTAGTTTGTGTGTAGCTTAATGCGTAAATGGTTATACAAAAAAAAAAAAAAAGGCATCCAGTATTCCACCTTCGTTCTTATCGACAGTGAACTAAATTTCCACATCATTTTTATAAGTATATAACTATATAAATTTATACTAATGATTTTCCTTAACACAGTTTTTGTCTCTACACTAGTTTAAGAATGGCAAATAAACTTCGACATTCGCTTCTATTCACACTGAGATGGACAGAACCAAAATTAATTAAGTAGCCCGTGGTAAAGTGGGGGAATGCAGCTGAATCGGCAGGATTTAGGTGGTAAACAAATTAATTCTATTATCATACATAAAAAAGGTGGGCAGCGGCCCAAATTTCCTTCCAAATAATTTTTTTAACCAATTTTCGTTCAATTCCATTTGCAGAATATCCTTCTAACTTTCTCCAGTTTTGAATTAATTAAAAAATATATATATTTCAGCTCCTTAATGATCTCAGTAAATTTGAATTGGGCCAACCCATCACCATATAGCCCCTATATGTTAGCTCTTTGTCTCGTCTTGTTGTCAACATATAAAAATACAGCAATTTTTAAATGCTGTGATGTACCATCATGATTTGCAATATCATACCAAAAGTTATAATATAGAATAATAAGTAGATCTCCGAAATGAAACCAACCAAATAATATCTTTAAAATTTTGGCAACTTTATGGAAACTGACAAATGAAATATTCTAAACTGTCATTAAATATTGATTTCCTGTCTTCATCTTTATTTCGGATGGGATTATAAATCGTTTATAGTAAATTTCGTTACCTCACCAAACAGAAGTATCAATGTCACCGATATCAGGATTGCACCCCAAGCTACGACGAGACTGTCGAGGAAAATAGGAAGTGCCTGAAAAAGTAAAATATCCCAAATTTTTAACATAATCTCCGATAGGATTAAAAAGCTTTTAAAACGTAATATCACTCGATTGTGTATACCTCCATAGCAGCAGCGTTGCAGATAAGCAATGTGCAAAGCAATAGATGCTGATTCTTGACAACTGGTAATATCTTTTCTGTAATACCAAAAGTGCAAGTGTTGATAATAGCTACTAGATTCCGAAACAGTATAAACAGAACAAAGCATTTCAATGTGTTAAAAATTTAAAATCAAAGTAGAATAAAGAAGTGCAAACGAAAAATTCTGAAATTTTTTTCCGTCCTGTAAAATCAAAGTAGAATTCGGAGCTGAAGATTCACATCCATTGAACTTGTTTAGACGATTTTTTTTACTTAAAATTCTCAACTCGAACTAATTTTTGATTCAAATTCTTCAATCGAAACGGAACCTATTAGAGAAGTAACTCGGAAAAAAATCCAAACACAGAAAACCTAAATTTGTGTGCTCGAATTGCAATTGGCTCAAACAACAAAAATCCTAAATCCTGAAACCTAATCATAAATCTCAATCTACATAGCTGATTGAACAAATTCAAACTCAGTAGAACGAAAGCGCATAAGAAATCAGTGGAATCTAAAACTGAAATAAAGAGAGAGGGAGAGAGAGAGAGAGAGAGAGAGAGAGAGAGAGAGAGAGAGAGAGAGAGAGAGAGAGAGAGAGAGAGAGAGAGAGAGAGAGAGAGAGAGTACCAGCATGCTGTTTGTCCTTGGGGGTGCCGGATTTGGCGAGAACTTCGAGATCGACGAGGCTGAGAGACATGAGTCCCAAAGTTAGGCCGGACATTAGGCCGGCAAACACCACCAGAAACGCCACCACCGCAATATGGATGAAAAACTCCGCTTCGCAACAAGTGTACTCCACCGCCATTACTCAAACTCCAAAAATTAAAAAATTAAATGCACAGCTCAGAAAATTATTTAAAAAAAAAAAGGAACGATTCGACCTAGTAATTGAGATTTAGATATGTATGTATTTACACCGAGTATAAATTCTCCGGTGGAAGAATATGGAGAAGTGGCAATTTAAGCCTTTATTTTTGCTTTTATATAATTTCCCCAAAACATTGGTGACTGTGATGCTGCTTTTTGATACTGATACGGTTCCACTCTCTACAGTTCTCTGCAGTTATCTTAATGGAAAGGTGATGACAGCTCCACACCCACCCCCCCCCCCC